ATTCACAAAATTATACCAGAACATAAAAGGTAATACGGACATAGTTGAAAGATATAGTTTCTAGTGACTAATGTGTTACTAATCTAGGCATTTTTATGTGGGAGGAGCGTTGTTAAGATTGAGTCATAGCAATTGTATTTTCAGAATGTTTGCAATGTGGGTAAAAAAATGGCAAAGGGGGAATGACTTCTTTACTCCTCTTTTAGTTTGTGTAGTTAAATGGTCCCTCTGCTAAGAATGCTTACCACTTAGCATTATTTGACATGGGCTTAGTATGTTAGCTACTTTAAGGTTTCCTCATACAGCTCTGCAGGTCACCCCCACTCCTTGCACCTGCCCTTCCCCCCACCCCCTTTACAACAAGCATAACTGTCCATTTTTCTGCCTCCAAAGAATTTTCGATAGGTTTTTATGTGTGTTTGCATCACTTAGTCATGTTTCACTCTTTGTGACCCCGTGGGCTGCAGCCCTCCAGGCTTCTCTGTCCATGGGATTCTCCGGTCAAGAATACTGGAGTGGGTTGCCATGCCTTTCTCCAATAGGTCTTTATAACCTTTATCAAATTTATTGTTTTGTCTGTTAACCTCTCTGTCATTTCTACCTCCTTGATGACTTGTAAATGACTTAGCCCTTCTAATAATAGAATTCAGCAAATGTTTGTTGAATAACTGTATTAACTAAGTGCATACTGTGCCATTTATTTATTTAAGGGGATCCACAGATGAGTGAGAGTCATCTTTCTCTTCAAGGAAAATAGGTGGGAGATCTATAAATCCTACTTCCCATTTGTGAGACTTGCTTGCTTTTATGTAAACTGTTGCACTGTATATATGTACATATCTGAATTTTAAAAATCACTAAAACTCTGTTCTTTTCATGGGAAAAGAAGAGGTTTCTAGTTTTTATTTGAATGTCTGGATAATTTTACAAGCCTCTGTGATGCTGTCATCAAAAACAGAGCTTAATTCTTTCTATTCATAACATGTTGTCGTCATCCTTTGTCTATGGAACTCTGTTCTTTGATTTTTTTTGACCAGTTTTTATTCATTTTTTTTTTCTATTAATGAGAATCTCCATCTCCTGAAGTCTTACTTTATGCTACGTCCAGCCTAATTGGGTGGAATATATAGAGACTGCAGGGTTGGGTGAGAATGGAGAATGATGCGGTTGGCTATTCATGGCGAAAGATCGTCTGAGATTAGGGTGAATGAGAACCAACATGGGAGGGAAAAGTTTGAGGATAGGGAGGGTAAGAGCTCAGGGTCCAGTGGTTCCTCTTAAATGTGCCTGCAGGGAAACAGTCGGATAAGCTGATGCTCTTTATTCTCTGTACAGCTTCTAGCTGTTTGCTTCAAAGTAGAATAGAGGAGAAGCAAAGATCCTGTCTGAACTTGTCCTGACTGAGAAGTGTTTTCTGTAGTTCCCAAACTGGTTACTGATTTACAAAAGTGGCTGGTTGTGTGACTTCCCCATCTTGCATTAGAGTATCAGTGCAAAGAATGCAGAGGCTCATTTTGAAAGGGACTAGGGAGGATGTATAAGAAATTATGGATTAAGCAAGTAATATTTCAGTATAAATGAGATGATGATTTGGAAGGTTTTAGTAAACCTTAGAGGCTAACTGTGTATTGCAGTATAGCCTCATGCAGGTAGGGATGTGTGTACATCTTTGTAGTCATAGGCTCTTTTCTAGCTTAAGCCGTACCCGTATTTTGTGGGTACCAGTTCAGCCTCTACTGTAATAAGATTGAGGGTCAAATAACAATAATTGAATATATTTCAGCCTTGCTTTTTAAATATTAAGAAATGATTGACAGGAGTCATTGTTAAGGTAATCATAAGTTCATAAATTCCTTGGCTTATTATAATATGTCAGATATATCATCATGTTTATGGTTTAATAGTGTTTGCTGCTACTGAAGTAAAAGATGTGAATTTTATAAGTTTTTATGTTAACAAGTCTAGTTGTAGAATTTAAGTGTAATATATATAAAACATTACAAAAAGTACAGAAAACATAGAAAATAAATATATGTAAAATATACCATAAAAAAACCCAGGAACCTACCACCTGAATTTAATAGATGTTAATATTTTGCCTCATTTGCTTCAGTCTTCTCTGTTAGCAAAGCAGTGGAACAGCGTATGTGGTGAAGGCACACTTGCTCATGTACTTGTGTCTCTAGGGGTCACCACTGTTCTCAGTTCAGTTATATCACTACCAAATATTAAAAACTTCTATTTTTGCTACAGGTATATATATCCATAAACATATTTTTAATGTTATGCTGACTTCTTCACATGGTTATCCACATGGAAAACTGCACTAGTTTTATAATTTTTATTTTATTCAGCATAATATTAAAAGATAGAAAAAATATATTTTTGACATAACTTTTTGCCCTAATAACATAAATTGAAGTGGCTTTTAATCATTTTTGAATGTAATTGCAGAATGATAATTTTTTACATTGTGACCTAAGGCATGTTGCATACACATGTATGTGTGTGTAAAGCTGAAAAAAATTTCTCCAAACCATAGTTTCCTCTACTGTGTGTGATATACTCTGTTTTCCAGGTTGTTCATTCTGAAATGCTTGTCCCACGCTCAATAAATTGCTTTTATAATCTAATAATATGTTGCCATCCATGGTTTGAAAAATATTAGTTTAAGATTAATCTAAAAAGTTGGTCTTAATCTAAAATTAATACTGCCTTTAGTTTGCAAATAATAAAAGCTTTTGTAGTTTAATAAATGTGCTTCAGAAAATAAGGCAGTGTGACTCAGCAGTAAAGAAAGCACCTGCAGTGCAGTAGACACAGGAGATGTGGGTTCGATCCCTGGGTCAGGAAGATCCCCTGGAAGACGAAATGGCAATCCACTCCAGTATTCTTGCCTGGAAAATCCCATGGACAGAGGAGCCTAGTGGTCTACAGTCCATGGAGCCACAAAGAATCAGACATGACTGAGCAACTGAGCACTCATATTAAAATAGCATTCTTTTGTAAGAAGTTTGATTGCATTCATTTTGGCTAACTCATTCTGAATATTTGTTTTCTATGAACTAAATCCATGCATGTCTAGCCATTTAATTAATTGATGTTAATTATTAATAGCTAAGTTTTAGAGAAAGCATGTTAGTCCTTGTAGAGTATCTCCTTGCAGTCTGTCCTGCCTGTGGTCTACCATAAATCCAGGAGGGTTGTCATGGCGTCAAGAACAGAAAGAATTCTTGCTTGCCCAAAACCTGACTCCCACCTCTGCCACCAACAGTCTGTGTATAAACCTTTAATAAGTCCTTTCTTCCTTGTGGGCCTCATTTTCCTCACCTATTAAACAGAAGGTTTAAGTAGCTTTTCTTAAAAGTAGGTTCATTCTGTGAAATATGGGAGAAGTTTGACCTGGGCCTCAGTTATTAAAATTTTATGAGAATATATCTGGTATGAAAGAATAGGACTTTCTATTGAAATTGCTGGATTTGAGGTTGCATTTGAGCCAGGGGTCAGCGGGTCATATTTGGTTTGATATGATTTTGAGACAGAAATGGTTTTCCATCATAAGACCTTTTCAGAGTAATCTGATGTTTCCAATCTCGGCCTGCTTTTTTGTTTCATTATCTCTCAATGAGGGACAGGGCTGTGTGAATGTGTATGTGAACATTCATAGGTGCTAAGAATGGCAAAGGAATATTTCTGCATTCTGTTTTAATTAAATGTCCTCACAGGCAAAACCAGAGCTGCAGGAAAAGTCTGTAAACTCTGGTAAAAGCCCTGGAAGACAGGTTCTACACATGGCAGGCATCCGAGGCTTTGGGAGCTTTGCTCTTCAATGTGAGGAACATGTTTGGAATAGAGTAAGGATGTATCACCTAAGCCACACGTCCTTAAACAAAACAGTATTTTTCATGACAAGAGTCCTTCATGTGTATGTTTGCTTTAAGAAACAGTTTAAATTACAGTTTGGGTGGAATGAACCTATAAAACCATCTCTTCCTATTGGTGTCTAAAAAAATAGTCCAGGAAATATTCTGCGTGGCTGTCCAGGTGGAGAGAGTTAGCGGCAGATGCTTAGTTCCAAGGTTTCTACTGTCTTTTGGTTTGTGGATTCTTTTTAGGTAGCTCTACATTTAGAGAAACCTAGAGAACCAGTTCTAACTCATGTGTGAGAGTGTAGACCCACTGAATGTGACTATATTTTAAGTATCTGCTCTTGCCTGAGGGGCTAATAAAGGTGTGTTTTTCCCTGATAGGATAAGTGTAAGTCTCTGGGAGAGGATCTGCTGAACCCCAGATGGCTGGGGCATAAGCTGTGTGTGTGTGTGTGTGTGTGTGTGTGTGTGTGTGTGTGCGCGCATGTATGTGTGTGTGTTCATGTTCAGTTGTTTTGTCATGTCTGTTTGCGATCCCGTGGATTGTATGTAGCCCGCCAGGCTTCTCTGTCCAGGGGATTTCCCAGGCAAGAATACTGGAGTGGGTTGCCATTTCCTGTTCCAAGGGATCTTCCTGATCCAGAGATCAAACCCTCCTCTCTTGCATCTCCTACACTGGCAGACAGGTTCTTTATCACTGCGCCACCTGGGATCACTGAGGCATAGGCCAGATTTCCTTTAATCCTTCTGATCATGCAAAAACTCAGATTTTTCTCAGCTGCAGTATGTAAAACATTCTTAACTCTTTTACTGTCATAGCAGTACTTGCCCCCCCACCCCCTTTATAGACATGGATTAGAATTTCTGGACCTCATCCTTAGGCCAGGACCTCACTATTATTTTGTTACTTTGTTGTACACCTGTACTTGGCATTGAGCAGATGCTATCTGGATTTGTGTGAATGAAGACTGTATACCAACTAATTACTCTTTGTACATTGCCATTTATAAAGTTGATCATCCTGAAATATTAAAATGGATTCTTTGAAGTCCTGAACAAAGTCTTTTTCTTTTTATGTTGAAGTGCTACTAATGAGCTTTCCTGTCTGCCCTTCTCCCTCATCCTCTGCAGTGTGCCGAGATTTTGCTGTCCTGGAGGACCACACCTTGGCCCACAGCCTGCAGGAACAAGAGAGTGAGTAATAGCCCCTGCATGCTCCTCCAGTTTTCTTTTTTAGTGGTAGCCTTGAGGCAGATTTCTTAGGGTGAGGTGGGGAGAAGACAGAGTCGTCAGGCTACACACCCATCATCCCAGGGGATCTGTCTAGGCAGGTGACCGCTTGGTGAAGAATGCACTTCTCCGTGTTTTGAAGTGAGACGGCTGCTGGGGATGAGAAGACCGTTGGGTGTATCGGAGGAAAAGAGGGACTTGAGCCATTTGCTTTGCTTTAATGCTGTAGGGGGAGACAGTGGTTATCTGGGGATCAGGAGTATGTAGAAGGCTGGCATAAGAATAGGGGTCTGAATACCTTTACCTGGGCAATGGAGGTATCTAGATTGTAGGATTTTCTGAATATTTATGTATGTAATTATGAAAAGTAAATCTAAGTTATATGTGTTATACAAAAGTACATATATGTGAACTTGTGATTTATGTGTCAGTGTAAAAATTCAGTGTTGAAAAATGTAGTTTTTAAAATGAAGTGGCAACTTGTGGAGCAGGAGGAGCACCGGCCCTGGCTTTACGTGGTTTGAGTAGAAGTTTAGGCACTGCCACTGCTGACCAAATCCACATGACTTAACCTTTCTGATTCTCTTTTTCCTTAATGAAAAGATGAGAATGCCAACCCCTATGCTGCATATTATACAGCATTACTGAGAGTATACGTGGAAATGATGGCTGTGAAGTTCTTTTTAATTGAAAGGCTCTTCTTAAGGTTATTCTTAAAAGTTTATTATGAATAAGCCAAAGCATTGTAATTCCTGTCTCCAATCTTCCTGTCCAGTTGAGCATCATTTGGCATCGAATGTTCAACGGAACCGTTTGGTCCAGCATGATCTGCAGGTGGCTAAGCAGCTTCAAGAGGAAGATCTGAAAGCCCAGGCTCAGCTGCAGAAGCGCTATAAAGACCTGTGAGGACTTGGGGAGTGGGAGGGCATTGTGCCAGGACTGGTTTTCAGGGAAGAGGACTTTCTGTTTGTCCCTTTGATTCCTTTCACTATTAGATTATAAATCCTACAGTGACGATCCCATAGGTTTTTTTTTATTTTAAAAAAACTGTCTTTGTTGCTGGGATTCCCTTCTAGATTGGGGACGTGCAGTTTCTGGCAGGACTCAGCACTTGTCACTGATGGCTTTGAGCCATCTGGTCCAGCTCTGTGTCTCACTGTTCCTTAACTGTACACTGGGGGGATGATCTCTGTCTCCTCTGCCTCCTGTGGTTTGGGCAGGAATCTAGCAAATTCCTGGATGTCACAGAACTTTCTGAAGTCTACTGGGTTCCTTTACTATTTCCTAGTAATGTTTGTTCCTCTTATTTTCCTTGAACCCCTTGCCTTTTGAGGGGAGGGGCATGCCACTTGACTTGTGGGATCTTAGTTCCCTGAGGGATCAAATCCATGCTATAGTAGTAAAAGTGCCAAGTTCTAACCATTAGACTGCCAGGGAAGTCGAGAACCCCTTGCTTTTTATATAGAGGCAGACTCTTCTGGAAAGTTCTGAATTGTACCCTCCCTTCTCTTCATAAATTCAGTGTCTGACCAAAATTATTTCTCCATCTCCTTCTAAATAGATCATGTCTAAGGTCTCTCCCATCATAATGACTTTTTAAACTTCTTTTTTAATGTTTTGAAAGCTCACAGAATACATCTCTTCTTTGAGAGAGGTTCCTATACTTCAATCCGTAGTGGTAGACTTAACTACAGAATCGTTTTGAGGAGGAAGGAGTGAGGGAAGAAGTGAAGGGACCCTTCTGTTTACTTTATTTGTCTTATTTAAATAAACATGAGAGCCTATTACTTTTGCCACCTTTGAGGAAGGGTTTTTCTGTCCTGTTATTTGCAGCGAGCACTTCATTCATTATTTTATTCAGTTTCCTTATTTTGTTCATAAACATTCTTATTGACTCTTGCTAAATAACCCTTTCACCATGAAAGGCACCAGAGAACACAGATATGAATAAAACATAACCATTGTTTTTAAGGGACTCAGGGGAAAAAACTGAGCACTTGCCAAAGTGACATGCAAGTTCATGAAAGATTCTGTATTTTTAAAACTAGATTAATAAATACTTTTTTGTAAGTTCAAAAAAGTGAGTGAATGAAAAGAGGATATAGAAATAATAAATTAGTAGATTTTTATTTTAAATTTTGTGGTTTGAATGGTTCAGAATCCTATAATATTAGATCTGTAACATGAAGTCATTAAATCCCAAAACTTTTGTAGCTAATAAGATGACATGAGAGGACATGGTTCACTAGTTAATAGTGGCAGGACCGGAAATCAGGTCTCCAGGTATTTTGTCCAGTAATTTTCCTACTAGTGACTAAAAAAGCTTGCTGTTTCCACTTCTGGCGTGTGCTCTCTGTCATGTATTCCCTTCTTCACATATAGGGATGTATATGTACATGTAGAATGTGCACATCGGACAGAAAGGGAGGAATCACGTTCTACATGTACATACACATCCCTGTATGTGCACCTATCTACTTTCATCTCCAACTATTTCCAAACATGTTGAAAAGGACCATTTCCTTATATAAACAAGAATAGTGTTCATCCCCTCACTTTTGTTAGAATAGAATGTGTGAATTTCTATTCCTCCAGAGAAGTTAGGATATTACCGCCACCCCCAACCCTAACACTTTGCAGGTACAAAGGCTGCTTTAAAACGGGGAATATACAACCAAGACTAGATTCGTTGAATACTTTTTAAGTTCAACTGGCAGGGCAAGAATAAAAGGGAATGTTGGTTTAGCAAGTGAACTGCATGTATAAGCCACAACTCTAGTTTTGTTCCAGCATCTTTTAGATAGTAAGCTCTAAGCATATGTATATCTTTTTAGGAAACAACTAAAGGTTGTAAGGGCCATGTAAACGCCGGCTCCCCAGCATTATCACACTCTATAGAGTTATAAGCTGCCTGTTAACTTTTCCTGGGTTCAGGAAGATCCCCTGGAGGAGGTCATGGCAACCCAGTCCAGTATTCTTGCCTGTAGAATCCCATGGACAGAGGAGCCTGGTGGGCTGCATTTCATAGGGTTGCAAAGAGTTGGACACAACTAATGCAACTTGGTCTAGTCTGACTGTTCCTGAAACCAAAAGACCATCTCTGAGAGATCCAAACCCCATTTCTTGTTGAAACTGCTGTTTCATTTGTGCTGTTTGAAAGGACCTGTTTCTCCCCACAAAATGATGTGTCTGGTTTCTCCCACCAAAGTATATTGTGGGGTTCTGAGCACAGGATGGAGATTTATTTAGTTTTGTATCCTCAGTGTTGAGCATGGCACCTGGATGACAGCACATGTTGCGTGAGTCTTTTTTGAATGCACGAATGCCAATACAAAACAAAACTGGTAGCAGCAGTATTACAGCCTTTGGTTGCCTTAGTGACCTGAGTGTTAAGAAAACTGGCATCAGCCACAGAGGTTTCTCCTGGCACCTGAAGCTGTGGAATATACATTCCCCGCCATTTTTAAAGTTTCATTGAAACTGAAAAAAAATGTATTTAATTAAACATTTATAAAAACTGTTTTGAAGTCATACCACCACCTCTAAGTAACCACAGTATTACTGACGTTTTAGTGAATTCACTCTTACTTTGTTTATGCCTACTTTGTGCATACTTGGATATTTGTGAATCTTATTCTCATAGTGTACATCTCCTTTGCAGAATTTTGAGGGACTGTGGTGATGGTTTAGTCACTAAATCATGTCTGACTCTTGTGAGCCCACGAACTGTAGCCTTCTAGGTTTCTTTGTCCATGGAGTTCTCCAGGCAAGAATACTGAAGGGGGTTGCGATTTCTTTCTCCAGGGGATCTTCCCGACCCAGGAATTAAACCTGCGATATGATCATACAAGAAAGGCCTGGAGCTTTCCATTGTAGTGTCTGGGGATCAGATTCTGATCCTACCACTTATTTTCTCTGTGACCTTAGGGAAGTGATTTTACTACTCTGAGCCTCAAGTTTTTCTAGCTATAGGATGTGATGGTATTGACCTCTTTGCATCATTATTGCAAGGACTGAGTGAGATAAAAATATGCCCTGGCTCATAGTGAGCATTCAGTAAATTGTGTTGTGGTTAGAAAAATCATTCCTTGTGTTCTTCATTTATGTTGCTTTCTGCTTTGTTTTTAGCGAACAGCAAGACTGTGAAATTGCTCAGGAGATTCAGGAGAAGCTGGCTATTGAGGCAGAGAGACGACGCATCCAGGAGAAGAAGGATGAGGTACAGCTTGCTTAATGCCCCTCCACCTCATGGAGGAGGGCCGCTCACCTCTGGCTCTGTTCACAGGCACAGCGTAGGGTTGCTGGGCGGGCAGGAGAGCTTTCCCCTTTTGGGGGTGCATAGTCCAAGTGTTGCCCTCCATGGACCACTGTTTATTTTGATAAACCACCACACCAAACCACCTTTTGGTCATTGTTTGAGTGATAAAATCTTAAAAGATGATAATGGTTATTTGACAGAAAGGGTGAGTTCGTTTCTGTAGGGCTGCTGTAACAAATCACTATAAACATGGTGGTGTAAAACAGTGGAACTTGGTTCTCTCACAGTTCTGAAGGTTGCACAGCGAAATTAAGGTGTTGGCAGGGCAATGCTGCATACTAGGAGAGATCCCTTTGCCTCCTCTTAGCTTCTAGTGGCTCTTGGCAGTCTGCATTCCTTGCCTTGTGGTTGCATCATATCAGTCTTTACCTTTGTTGTCATATGGCCTTCTTCCCTGTATCTTTTTGTCCTCTTGTTTTCTTTGTAGGATACCAGTCATTGGATTGAGGGCCCAGCCTAATAGAGTATGATCTTCTCTTAAATAATTCTACCTGAAAGATGCTATTTTTAAATAAGGTCATGTTCTGAAGTTCTTGTTATAACAGAATTTTTAAGAGATAATTCAGCTCAATACAAGATATCTGTCTATGGGTTATTCCCACAACTTTAGGGAGAGCAAACCTTGAATGTAGCCTGAACAGGAGTCATGGACTGGTCATTGCTCTCCTTCTTTTTTATTAACAGGTTCACTTTCCTATGATACTCTGCCTGAAAACAGTGATCCATTTAATTCTGTGTATATTTTTAAATTGTATTGTTTTTAAGCTGAAAATGACTAAAATTAGCAGTAGTGTATGGTTTGTAAAAAGACTTGAATTTGTACTTAGTGATCATTGCTTTTGCATTACGTTTTCAGCATTTCTTACAAACAATTGTGTTGACTCTGTGTCTGCTCTTTTTATACCTATTCTGCTATTCTTGGCCATTGTCTTGACTTATAGTAAAGAAAAAAATGATTTATCATTTTTAATAGTAGAATGACCATATGATATTTTGTGTACTCAGAAATTTTGTGTACTCTCCTGGGCAAACTGGCACATACAATCACCCTATTGAATAGATATTTCAGGGTTATCAGTGAACCAGCCTGCATCTTCTCTTTCTCCTACTGAGCTACCCTGTTCCTCTGGACCTCCTTGTTCAATGCCAGGCGAGTGTGAGACACCTGGTGTGAGTGTATTTAGCTGTTTCTTTAAGAAACAAACCATGATTATGTGATGATCAGAACTGTAAGTTAGAACGAGGGATTCTTTTTCATCCTTCCTGTCATCCACACAGGAGCTCTTTCTTACTGCAGGATGTGTTGCCTCTCTATAGTCAAGACTTCCTTGGAGATGAGTCTGGAAGCTGAAAGAAGTGATTATGTTTTATAGACAGGAAAGCTTCTATTTTAAAAATCACAGAGTAATGAAGTTGGCTTCTTATAAATGCTCCTGGTGTCCTGTAATATTTTTCCTTTCCGTTCAGGGGAAAGCAGTATTAGGGAAAACAAAATACTTTATTTTATGCCTGTGGAATCTAAATAGCAATCACAATAAATAATCTCATTGTTATACTATATAAAGTATGCAGTGTTGTGAATAACTGCATTTCTCAGATGAAGAAATTAAGTCTTGAAGAAGTATATGAATGACTGGTCTCTGGCTATAGTAAGATGCCAAAGAAATGTCTCTGCAGTTCTCACTGCCTCTGACTTGGGTATACTGTGACACAACATAGAACACATAAACTATTGAGTTTGAATCATACCTGTTTACTTTTAGCTGAGACTTTAATCATCTCATTTAGCCACGTTGACTTTTAGGTTCCAAACTGAAGAATTCATGATAACTCTACATTATCCTAAAGGGCTGCTATGAAGTTTAAAATCATGTATTTAAGGTCTCTGCTACATATTAAGTTAATAGTTGTTCTTTCCTTTTTGCTTTCTCACCAGGTGTTTCCCCCACCATTCTCCCTTTGTAACAACTCAGATTTCTCTAATAGAGAGATGTCTGCTGAATTAAAAGGTGGGGGTGAAATAAGCAGAGTTACATATATTCTGATATGGTATGATTTCAGGAATCTTTAGGGATTTTCTTGCCTTTACAGGTCTCCTATTATCTCCACTACTATTTGACCTACTGAAATGTTTCCCCTTGTCCAGTGCAATGGAGAGATGAGACGAGAAATCTAGTTGTGGAGGTTTAATGAGACTAAGCTTTAAAAACTCAACACTTTTTTTTTCCCAGACGTTTTTGACTTTTCACTGATGCCTTAGTTTAGAATATGGCTGTCCTGTCAAGAGGTTCTTTACTTGTAGGAAAATGTGACTTCCAGCTGACTAGACTGTTTTAATATTAAATAAAATTTGCATTAGTCAAGTTTGATGTTGAAGGATGTATGATAATGCTTATTTGTTTATTTTAGTCCAAGGCGCCTCATAGAGGAGATTGAAACAATAATGCTAATTTTTCTGGCCAACTTTGCACTGCCTGTTACTCATCAACTGTCCAGATTTTTTTTTTTTTTTTTTTTATAAATTTTCCCTCTCTCTGTGCTCTTCTGCTTCCTTATAGAGTCTGCTTAGCTAATAAGTTCTTACCCAGCAGCAGGGTTGTAGAAAATTCCCCTCTGGATTTTCACCGAGATCTCTTTTTACAGATTTTTAGAGTCAACTCTTTTGTAGCTTATAATCACTCAGAACAACCTGATGTAGAATTCAAGGTTCTTTCCTCTTGGGACAGATATTTTTACTGAACAACATTGTACATGAGAAGTAGAGTTATACAACTTTCTGTGGGTGAATTAGCATGTCTAACTTCATTGTGATATAATTTTATTGTGTTTTTTAACAGAGCACAAATGTAAGGCAGGTAGCATTTCCATTGGTGAGACAGATGTTGAAGAGTTTAAAAAGATCTATATTCTTACCACCATTGTGGCTCCTTCCCTTTCTTCCCTCTTTTTCCTCTTTCCCTCCTCTTTCCTACCTTGCTTTTATTTTTTAAACTCTTACATGGTGTCTTGAATATAGTAGTAGTAGCAGCATTTCTTTCTTGGCACCCTGTTGAAGGAGCATGTAGCCTTTGGTTATACTGGACTGAGTTTATGGTAGTACTTGCCTCATAACGACATGAGTTTGTGGTTAATACGAGTGGACAAATTTTATTGGGATCTTTCTCTTTGGTCACAGCTTTAGCATTTGTCAGTATTGTTTAATCAAGCCAAGAAATGTGTTTTTAGTTAATTTAATTTAGTTATTCTTAAATAAATAAAAAAATAACTAAAAATTCTTAAATAACTAAAAAGTTCCAGAAAAACATCTACTTTTGCTTTATTGACTACACCAAAGCCTTTGACTCTGTGGATCACAGCAAATCTGGAAAATTCATCAAGAGATGGGAATACCAGACCATCTGACCTGCCTCCTGAGAAACCTGTATGCAGGTCAAGAAGCAACAGTTAAAACTGGACATGGAACAACAGACTGGCTCTGAATCAGGAAAGGAGTACATCAAGGCTGTATATTGTCACCCTGCTCATTTAACTCATATGCAGAGTACATCATGCAAAATGCTGGGCTGCATGAAGCACAAGCTGGAATCAAGATTGCCAGGAGAAATATCATTAACGTCATCTACTCAGATGACACCATCCTAATGGCAGAAAGTGAAGAAGAAATAAGAGCCTCTTGATGAAAATGAAAGAGGAGAGTGAAAAAGCTGGCTTAAAACTCAACATTCAGAAAACTAAGATCATGGTATCTAGTTCCATTACTTCATGACAAATAAATGGGGAAACAGTAGAAACAGAGAGACTTTATTTTGGGGGGCTCCAAAATCACTGCAGATGGTGACTGCAGCCATGAAATTAAAAGATGCATGCAGTTTGTCCAGTAGTCATGTATGGATGTGAGAGTTGGACTATAAAGAAAGCTGAGTGCCGAAGAATTGATGTTTAAGAATCTTGGTGTTGGAGAAGACTCTTGAGAGTCCCTTGGACTGCAAGGAGATCCAACCAGTCCATCCTAAAGGAAATCAGTCCTGAATGTTCATTGGAAGGACTGATGCTGAAGCTGAAATTTCAACACTTTGGCCACCTGATGTGAAGAACTGACTCATTAGAAAAGACCCTGATGCTGGGAGTGATTGAAGGCGGGAGGAGAAGTTGATGACAGAAGATGAGATGATTGGATGACATCACCGACTCAATGGACATGAGTTTGAGTAAACTCTGGGAGTTGCTGATAGACAGGGAGGCCTGGTGTCCTGCAGTCCATGGTGTTGCAAAGAGTTGGATGTCACTGAGTAACTGAACTGAACTGATTCTTAAATAAAACTCTTAACTACTTTGTGTATATGTGAATATTGATTTACATATGTGCCTTTGAACCTAGGTCCAAATATGTGTGAATGTGAAACTGTTTTAGGGAAAGCTTTTTTTTTTTCCTTAAATAAATAGTATCATGGCCAACCATGAAATGAAAATCTGTGGCACTAATCCAACAATTTGGAGCCATTTATAATGTGAACTATTCAGGGATAAACTTAGTAACCAGTTTACATTAAAAATTAATCTAGTGTGAGCCATGGTACTTTTTCATAGTGCTCTTAATGTGATTAGAAATTCATGGTCTAAAAATATATTTATGTAAATTGGTAATATCTAGAAAATAGCTGAGGTAGTAATAATTTAAGCTACTTAATTTTTTCCCTATGTTGTGGCACTTTAAAAATAAGTTTACAAATATATAACCAGATAGGGGGAGTGAGTGGGAGGCCTCTGGTTGAGAAAATTCTTCTCTCCTTGTATCCTAGTTATATTGCTGTTTTTATAGCCATGAATTTAGTACTAACCTTTTTTTCTGGTCTTACAGAGTAACCCTTTTGGGGTTATACCTGCTTTGCATTTCCTACTGAGTTAGATGTTAATATAGTAATTGCTAGGTAATAAAAAAGTTTAGCAATCTAATGGAATGGCTTTCCTTTTTTTATTCTTCTGATAGTCATTTGACAATCACAATTTCACATCTCACTTAGGCTGTCTTTATACATAAGATTTTCTCATTTTGAATCTCACTACTATTATGATAAAGGTGAAAACTTTAAGGGAGAAGTAACCCTGATATAAAATCGTATAAACCATAAAAGTACCCAAAAGGATCCAACAGTTCAGCAATTTGTCTTTACTTGAGAAAGTTGCATGGGGCTCCTCTGTACATTGGTGTGTGAATGTCTCTCTCAGAGCACTCATCTTTGCATATCTTACATTATGTTAATCATTTTGCTTTTAGTACTTAATGGACAAGAACATTAATGATAATGACTGCGTATCTTAATTCTCTGTAGGAGGTCTCTAGCAGAATATTTGAGCCATTGAAAGGAATCAGTTTTCTTGATCTGTGAATATGTTTTCTTGATATATCATTCCTGTAGCATTCCAGGAATCCTTAACTCTGCCCTTACTTATGCTCCCATAAGTAAGAAGCTCCCATAAGCTTCCCATTTTCCAGAGTTGAGTGTTATTTCAATAAATGTTTTTACTTCGAAAGTCTTCTGTGGGAGGAGAGGAGGGATGCTTAAGAGGGAGAAGATATATGTATAATGATGGCTGATTAGTTGTATGGCAGAAGCCAGCACAACATTGTAAAGTAATTTTCCTCCAACTAAAAAACAAAAAAAGAGAAAGTCTTCTGCGCAACAGTTATTTCTGCATATTAACCCAAAGTAAGTCTACCTGATTAATATTGTTAATTAAAAAATAATTGAATATTTGTTTTTTCCCCAAGTTATGTTTTGTCAAACACTAATTTAGTAAGGTTTATATATATGTATATATTTTATGTAACAAAAAGACCTCTGTCACAAAATACATTTGGAAATTCCTGGGTCGCTAGAAGATAACATTACTTTTCTTTCATCAGAATGTTAACATGAGCTAATGTGTTAGATATAATACATGTTTTCTGGTTTTTTTTTTTTTTTTGTGATCCTTTGATACCGGTGTTCTCAGAAACAGCTTGGGAAATGCTGTTGTAGACTAATCTTTAACAGGAAGGAAGGAGAGGATCAAGGAGGTTGTTTGTGTCAGGGGTGACTAAGCTGCATCCAAGCGTGGTGACTAATAATTGGTGTCTTTAGCTTGTTTCAGGGGAGGGTTTTTTTTTTTTTTTAATTGAAATCACCTAACTAAACCCACTGTGCAGTAATGTTGGAAAGCAGGGAAGAAAGTTGACTTGGCTGAGCCATGGTTTATAGTATAGCAGCAGATTTCCATTGAAATCCTTTTTCCTTTCCCACCTCAAGTACAGCTAGCTATTCTTATTCTTCTCAGCCATAAGAAGCTTATTCACAAAGGAGCTGAGATGTTAAAAGAACAAAGGTTTGGGTGCTAAGATGCATGACACATTGTGATTATTATTTTCCTACTTGGTTAAAAGCACTCCTTTTGACCAGCTAATACATTGTACAAAACGGGTATCACTTTTGTTTCTCTTTGGTTCATTTTTGGCTCTTCATGTTGAGAAAGTGCCCTATTACTGTGTATTCATTAGGAATAAATTTGATAGCAGGAAAGCAATTATAAAGTCCCTGGAGGGCAGTTTAATAATTTCAGCTGGCAGTTGGACCTGGCAGTTTTCCTTTATATTTTTATTCAGTTATATAAAGGGAGACTTTTTGTTTTCAGTGAAACAAACCACTTAAGAAAATGTAGTGTTGGATGTTCAGTCAAGATGACAACTCAGGGAAGTGTTTACATTTTCTTCCTACTTTTGTAGTAAGATGTATATGGATTTAGGAAATTCTGAAGTAGATATTAGAATGAGGAGAATAAATTATCTTGTCACGCCTCTCTCTTCCTAACTGATTACTATATTGCTTTGTAAGGCATCAGTGTAATGAACCTGGCACAGAGGAGGGCACCCAGTAACATTTCCAGAATTATTAAAATGTGTAGTGGGGTGTGAAGATATTTGACTTTTAAGGTTCACTAGTTCAGACTCTTCATTTTACAGATGAAGAATTCAGGACCAAAGAAATTCATTTTAATAGTTAATGTTTTTCTTCCAGTGTCTCTGAAGCATCTCTGACTTGAACTGGAACTTATCAAATATATGTACATATGTAAACATGTACATATATCAAATATATATACATATTTACACAGTTTCATGAGAAATTTCCAGCATAGAAGTCAGTTACAGAATATATGTTAATAATATAAATTTGAATTTAGGCCTATTTCGTGAGCATTAAAAGCCACGTACATGGATGTGTGTGTGCATATGTGTGTGCTTAGGCACTCAGTCGACTTGTGTCCGACTCTTTACAGTCTCATAGTTTGTAGCCCGCCAGGCTCCTCTCTCCATGGAATTCTCCAGGCAAGAATACTTGAGTGGGTTGCCATTTCTTTCTCTCTGGGTTCTTCCTGACCCAAGGATTGAAGCCAAGTCTCTTGCATCTCTTGCATTGGCAGGTGGAGTTTTTACTGCTGAGCTGCCTGGGAAGCCCTCCAAGTATACTGATGACCTCTGCTAATTCATCTAGCCTTTGCATCCAACTTATTTCTACACTAATATAAGAGAAATTAAGTCATTCAGATGAATTTTATTTGCCTTGCAGTCTTAGTATATCTTCCTCTGACTTATTCAGAAAAATGCAGAAAGAATGGTGATTAATTTTTGCCTCAGAAGTAAGCCCCTCAAACTGCCTGTGATTTTTATTACAATTTGTATCAGTGAGTATTGTTGCCTTATTTGTAAGATCTTTAAGAATCTGGTAACATCCAGGGTTCTTCTTTTTTAAAAAGTGTACATAAACAAAGTTTATGTGCTATTTTTGTTGGGCCTTTTATAGAAATAATCTTCAAATTCCGAACTCTATCTCTTGCCAGCTCAAAATCTTTAGCAACTTTTCATCCCTTACATTATAGACTCCAGACTTTTAAAAATTGACTGTAAAGGTGCCTAGCATCCAGCCTCTGTTTTTCTAACCTCATCTTTCTCTAACACCCCACACACAGTGTTCTTTTTTTTTTTTTTTTTAACACACAGTGTTCTAATTGGACTATTGGTTGTTTTCTAGAATGATGCCCATTAAAAAAGTTATAACTTTGCTGGTGGTGTTCTCAGCAAAGAATATCTTCCCTTGCTTATTGGAATCCAGTTCTTTGTTTAAAACCTGACATTAATGCAAAGCCTTGAACTAATTCATATAAGCAGAAGTAGTATTCCCTTTTTGGTGCTCTCATAGACATTTCCCCCCCTTTTTTTGAGGCATTTACAATTTGGCTGTGTTATGGTTATTTGTGTATTGCTTTGTTTTCAAGTGGTGTGGTGCTTTTTTAGGGGATGAATTTGCCACTCAGCAGCTGCTGAAAACTCATCTGGAGATGGAGCAGAGGAGAGGCGGGAGGAGGACTGTTTTCTGTTTTGTTTTGTTTTTTCAGTTAAGACAGCCGTCCTCTTAACGCAAAGCTAAATCACAATCAGGCTGAAAGATTCTTTAAAAAACTTTTTTTTTAATGAAATCAGTGTATATATACATTAGTATATATAAAATAAATAGCTCATGGGAAGTCACTGTATAAAACAGGGCGCCCAGCGTGGTGCTCTGTGACAACCTAGGGGTGTGGGGAGGAGGTTCAAGAGTGAGGGGACATATGTATGCTTGTGGCGGATTCATGTTGTTGCATGGCAAAAGCTAACACAATATTGTAAAGCAATTATCCTCCAATTTAAAATAAATTTAAAACAAAGGTTATAGATTATGGCAGTCTTCCTCATTCAGACTTAGTGAATCATCATCTTGGAAATAGGGCCCATAAATATGTATTTGAAAACTTCTGTTCCATAACCAGTTTTAGGAATATTATATTTGAATATCTTCAGGCTGAGTTCGATTTAAATTTAGTTAAAAAACCTTTCTCCCTCATCTTGTGCTCTTCCTGTTGAGCAGTCATCTTTGACATTTGGACAGTGTGAGCGTAATACCAGAAGGTCTGGAAAAGCATAGGCAGAGCCACAAAAGCCTGGGAGTGGAATGTCAAACCACTGACCTGCAGGGTTACTGTATGGCGTTTGTTCTTTCTCTGAAGTATTTATTTTTCTTCTGTCTGTATTTGCAGGACATTGCTCGACTCTTGCAAGAAAAGGAGTTACAGGAAGAGAAAAAGCGAAAGAAACACTTTCCAGAGTCTTCTGGAGTCAGTGCTTATGGTGATAGTTACTATTATGAAGATGGAGGTAATAATTCCTGTCTTTAGACTCAGTTTGCCTGTAAAGTGACTCTAGGGCCCATTTAGATTTGTGGTAGAATTTAATCTTATCTAATGAATCCATCTGTTCTTTAGATGGATGGCCAGTGTCATTTTTATGGCTGTAAAATGTGAATACAGTTTAGCAAAATCTGACATGTGTTCTTTTGCACTGTTGCTACTTAGAATGTTATATTACATTCTAAGCACATAAACTAGGGTAAGGAAAAATGGCAGATGAGTCTCTGCCTCAGAGAAATCTGGGCAGTACTGTTTGAAGCCCCAAAGTAGCACAAATAATGAAGGAGGTACAGCATTTATAGATGACTGGATACCAAAGCTTTTTTCCCATGCTTATCTTTTAAACCTAGGCCAATGGATTACCCTGCTGGTGACAAAATTGAATATTATGATTTTCTGTTGAGTTTTTGCTTTTCATGCTTTCTTTGCTATTTCTACCATATAGAAAGCTTTCTGAGAGAGAGAGATGCCTTCTCTAGTACCCGCTTTTGCGGTGTGGTGGTGGTGGTGGTGTGGTGGTGGTGGTAACGCTTGTGGTAACCGTGATTCTTTATCTTAAAAGTGTGTTGGGAAATGAGTATTTGCAAGTTTTGTTTAGTTCTTTTTAAAGACATGTTAAAGGAAGGATATTTCCTGTAGTTTTTAGTGTCAGTATGTAACTGTAGTTCAGCTTGGAGACCATGTGCTGTGCTATACGTAGTTGCTCAGTCGCATCTGACTCCTTGTGACCCCAAGAACTGTAGCCTGCTAGGTGCCTGGGGATTGCCTGGGGATTCTCCAGGCAAGAATACTGTAGTGGGTTGCCATGCCTTCCTCCAGGGGATCTTCCCAATTCAGGGATCAAACCCAGGTCTCCCGCATTGCAGGCGGATTCTTTACCCTCTGAACCAACTTGGCTTCCATGGTAGCTCAGTTGGAGACCATACTTAGGATACCAAATACCAACCAAATAAAATCTAAAGGTAGCTTCTAGAGAGTAAAGATTTTAAGATGAGTAATCCCCAAGGCCCCTGAAAATTAATTACCGATTGCTTTTCTATAGTATCATAAAAGCTAAGTAGGTATTTTTCTTTGGTGAGTAGAATGAAAAGTATGTGTGTAGATAATAGGATTATTATAGTTGAGTCTTCCAGTCACACTGTTCTAAATCTTTCAAAATGAGTAGAGCTCAACTCTGTAACACAGTTAATAAGTAGATTGATTCTGTGCTTGTGGCTTGGTGTGTTCTTCCACATGTGAAATGCTCCTCTTTCTTGATAGCCATTTTCCTTATCCTGGTTTTTCTAATCAAATCATGTGACACATCATTCAAGAAGAAAAATTGCCAGTATTTTTCTGTACTAGAGATCCGAAGGTAGTTACTCGTCAGCTTTAATTAAAATCTTAGAGATATGATCTGATTTTTTTTGTTTTTTTTGTAATTCTGCCAGAAGGCACGTTCATTGCAGATAAAAAATAACCATTCTAAACTTTTGAATTGAAAAACATTAGGGTGGTAAATAAGTACACTAAAGTACTGATTTTAGTGTTCCTCTTTTAAAACCTTACACTTAACTCAAATTGGGACTCAAACCTGGTGGTTTTGACCAGAGTTTTATCATTGTGATTTATCTCTGTAGACTATGTTAAGAATTCAGTAGATTTTCAGGGACACCTAAATTTTTTTTTAATTTATATTTAATGCTTTTGTAAACTTACAGAGAATGCTGTGTGTGCTTTTCTTGGACTTGGGGCAGGGGAGGATTGGGAATAGGATCTAGGGATCTCCTGAGCGTGTACCTGTAAAGTACTGTTGGAATTTCTCTTCAGTTGTGTTGTTGTTGGGAGATGATACATTGCTGAACATGTGATCTTCGTTTTTATATGCCTTTGAGTTAGATCAAGGTGAGTTCTACAGAGGCCACATTATAGTCCAGCTGACATTTACAAAGCAGCTCTATGTTCTTTGCAGTGGTCCTTTCCCAACACATAAGGGATATTCTTGAATTGTACTTCTCTGCCTTTGCGTGCAATATAATTTTTGTCTGTCTTACATAATAATCAGAGCGAATCATTATGGAAGTGGTCACTTTAGCTTTAATTTTACTTAAACTTTAATAAATTAATCTTTTAAAAGTAATCATTTATAGATTTTCTACAAATCTGGAATTATCCAAGACCCCTGTCAGATTTATATCAACTGAAATTGTATATCTTATTTATGAATCCATGTTTCTCTTTCAAAGCCCCTCACCTGTACTGCCGGCATATTAAAGATTGTTTTTTTTAAGTCATGGTCTTTGGAGTCATTAGACCTTGATTCAAGTTACATCCCTTCCTTAGAAAAATTGTAATATTAAGGAAGTTATCCACTATAGTCAATGTAATCCTTTTTCTCATCTATAAAATGAAGATTCTAAAAATATATCCTTCACATGGATGTTGAAAAAATTAAACAATAGAATTTTTGTGAAGACTTATTAAACTCTAAAGTACTTTTATTTGTACAAATATTAATGTAAAGTGGACTTCCCTGGTGGCTCAGATGGTAAAGCGTCTGCCTCCAATGTGGGAGACCCAGGTTTGATCCTTGGGTTGGGAAGATCCTCTGGAGAAGGAAATGGCAACCCACTCCAGTATTCTTGCCGGGAAAATCCCATGGTCGGAGGAGCATGGTAGGCTACAGTCCATGGGGTCACAAAGAGTTGGACACGACGGAGTGACTTCATTTTTCACTTTAATGTAATGTGTGTATTAAATAATATTTGGTCTGTCCAAACAAAAATCATTTTATTTTGAAAGACAAACATGGAAGAACACAAAATGTTTGCAAATATATGTGTGTGTATATGTATATATATACATATATATGTATATACACACATATATGTATGTGTATATACATATATGTATGTATGTATGTATTGCCTATAAGGAAGTTAATTATATTTGCCAAATAACTTGGTCTCAAGAAATATAGACGTCTCAGTCCTTAACTGGACAGGGTTTTAAAGGATTCAAACATTCCTCCATCCCTGTCTTCTTTTTTGCCCCAGGTTTAAAGATATCACAAGTGATCACAATAAATATTTTTCCCTATCAACTCTGTGAAAATGTAGTGACAGCCCTTTTCTAATTCTTGCAACACACTTTCCTAAAGTACAACTGTTAATATCTGTTAACATATTAAAAGAAGTAAAAATAAAAATAAAACAATCATGACTTCACAAGTCCAGGTTAAAAACAAAACCTTTCTTTTCTCTTTTTGGGTTTATAGGCAGGCCTCACTCCTGCAGTTTTCTGTGGGAACGTTGGTATTAACACTAAACCATTGTTTCCTCCTTGTGATCCTCGCAGTAGTAAATAGATTCTCAGTTGTCAAGATACACTTAAAATAATAGTTTGCGTAAAACATACTTTTTTTATTACAGAGAGTAATTCTTTTTCACTTTTGTTTATGTAAAAAATAAATTCTATCATAAATTATTAAGATAAATACCTCTACAGACTTTTTAGAAGACAGGTTTTAATTTAGACATCGTCTTTGAAGCAAATGTTCTTTTCTTCTGGAAAACTCAAGAAGAAACCATTTAGAGTTTTGAGTTCAAGCTTTTCTGGCATCATTGATACATTTAACACATATCCATATCTCCCCTTCCTGTATTCCTTCACTAGATTAACAATAACAAACATTAACAAAAGCAAAGAGCCCAAAACCAAACCAAACAAACAAAAAAGCCCTGATAACTAATGAAAGGTATGGTTATTTATTTTTTCTACATTCCATCCAGTTACAAGAGCTGCTTCAAATGCAGTTCAGCAAATGACTAATTCCAAGGGGGAATCTTGGCTGTCTTAGCAATTTTCCATGGAGTTAGGATTTCTTTTTGTTATTTCCCCATTATAGTAAAAGTCTTTGGAAATGTTAAATGTGCTCTTGAAATATTCATTGTTAATTCACTTCCTTTGTTTTCATAGTTTGCTTGTTCCTAAAAGAGACCTGACAACAAAGCACCATGTCTGTGCTGTTTCTCTAGTTTGTGTTAAACTTAGGGACTTGCATATTTAGCACATGTTGTATTTCTATATACAGAATACAGTATCTTAAAGTTTTTTGAAATGTGTTTAGGAATCGGCTTCTTTTTCTGTACTCTGTTATGGCATCTATTTTTAATTATTTTCCTCTACACAGCTTCAAGTAAGATTTGAAAGAGAGTCATCCAAAGATAACAGGGTCATTTACTCACATAAAATTCTCTTTTGCTCCCTCTTCTTCCACACTGAACTGTAATTTTTCTGGGAATGTTTGCTTTGGCCACCTAAGGGAAGAGGATGGAGGGATACAAATCTGTGGATCATCTTTCTGAACCAAGTAGAAACGCAATATTCTGATATAAATTTATTGTTATTTCCAATAAGAATATTTCAAAGTCTCTGACTGGAATCACAAAGCTTAGTTCTTTTTCTATTTTTATAAGATTCCTTCATCTCTCACTTACCACCCTCCCCCACCATATACTAGTTCCAAATTGATTTTATAAATAGAATTGAACACTTAATGACTGGAATTTTTGTTATTGGCAAATATTAAAGTACTATGTTAATCCTCCCCTAATCATGATCAAGCTCTTCTTTCAGATTTAACTTATTTCATTTAATTTCATTTCAGTTTTATTGCCTTTTTGGCTCTGTACCTAGAATCCTTCATGTATGCATGGACCATTCCAGCAAATACTCATCCATTCGTTTCAGTTTGTTAAACTGAAAAAATGGTCTTCTTCATTTTAAAATATATTAAGCTTGAGGCCTGTCTCCATCCTGTAGTGAGTTTGTACCCAGTCATTAAGTTAACCTGCGTTTCTGTTTTTCACGTCCCTCCACCTCCACTCAGACCAGCCTCGGTCAAGGAGGGCAAGGGAGTTGGGTTCTGGAAGCTCACGGCCTTGTAGACTCCAACATGAGGAAAAGACTGTGAAGCACCGGAGGGAGAGGTCCAGACATCCACAGGAGAACTTGACAGAACCGGAAGAGCACTGTTCGTCAGAGAAACCTCTGTCATCTTCTAGCTCGGGTCAAGTGAGGGACGATCCCCAAGTTAACACTGAGCCTGAAAGAAAACGCTGTGGCCACGAGAGGCTCCGGAGACCTCCCCTCCCCAAGATCAGCGGTGAGGTGCTTCTGAGCACCGAATCGGATGACTGGGAGGCTCGCTCTAGCCATCGAACTCGGAACTGGGAAAAACAGTTCAGACAGCAAGACCAGCTCTCTCCCAAAACCTCACGGAAAGCGGGTCTTCCCTGCAAGGAAGCCATTTATAGGAGGGATCATGGGCAAGGTGAGCACAGAGAGAGGAAACGCAGGCCCCGGACTCCTCCCTTCTCAGAGAGTGAGGAGCAGCTCCAGCTCCACGACACAGGTAATGAAGGCCAGCCTGGTCGGAAGTCCTGCTATCGTGTATATACGTGCAGATAAATGTATCTGTTAAGCACCGTAGGCAACATGTCCTTTCTCTCTGGTTTATGCTTATAGCTTTGAGATAAATCCTGGAGCCAGATACTACAAAAGGTATTTACTTAATCTCAACTCTCAAGAAGGAGAATATCTGTACCTTTTCCCTTCTGCCTTCTAAGAGAATTCACACTCCTTGCAAGGTTCTTCCAGCCCCAAGATTGTAGTGGAGGTACTCGTCCCAGGTACGATTTTTAATCTGCCAAAACCTTACATCAGAGATTCTGATACTAAAGCAGTGCTATTGAGTTTCTGATTTTGATTCCATGAACCCAGAAGGTCTAATAACACCAACTTCATAATATTTGCCTCCAAAGAAGACCTACAGGGCTGGAAGTGCTGGATTTTCTTCACCTCATCTTTCTCAGCTGTGAAGTGAGAGATGAGACAGGCGGTCTCTTAAGACAGTGTTATTCGAATAGTGAGCCTTTAGTTTGTTTTCATCAGAATCAGCTAGGCCGTTTCCTAAAAATGCAGATTTCTGGATCTTACATGTGTTAGCAATCCCTGGAGTGCAGCCTGGCGGCCCAGGCTTGTTTTACCAGGAGGTGATTCTTATGCACTTCACGTTTGAAAACGGTTGTTTTGAGTTCCTTCCTGTGCTTTAACCAGCTTCAGCTCTCCGGTCGGTTCTCTGAAGCACCAGTGTCAGGTAAGTTCTTGGTACTTACTTAGGAATGAGGTGAATGGTTGACCTAAGGCTCCAATTTCTGGCATCCCTGAGGCCTAACTCTGAAGCCCGTCGCTGACACAATAATGGTTCTCCATGCTTTTCTGGAAACTGCTGCTGTGAGCTTTTTCCATGTGGCTGTACCACTCCGAGTCGTAGCGCTGGCTGTCTGGTGTTTCAGTTAGACTAGACTCCTCTCCCTAGTTTTGTTTTGCTCCTATGGAATGTCTACCGAGACTCAGGGGTTATTGGGGGGAAATACCAAGGAGCCGACTCTTCTTACTTCCTTCCATTTACTGTTGCCCAGCCAACCCCTGCTTCTGGTCTGGAGAGTGATTTCTGGGTTGCAGGTTCATGTTGGTTCTTTTGGTTCCCCCTATCATTTTATCTCTTCATGTCATGTTAGTCCTTTAAGTTTTTAAAGGCCTTGGTGATAAAATGAAAATCCAGTTCAGCAGTTATCTATATGCCACAAATCTTCTTGCCTCAGGCTTTATGTTTAGGGGTAGATGCTTGGATCTGAGCCTCAAACAGTTCATGAGTCAAGCCACAAAGATGGATATGTAAACAAGCCATTGCAAATTTGATATACTTTGAACAAAGAGCTCTGGGGCAATAGAGGAGGAAGTGGTAAAATCTACCTGGAGTGCGTTTTGTAAGTTACCTTATATCAGATTTAGAAAGACATGTTGGAGTCCAAAAATTATCAGAGAGGAAGGGTGATTTCATCGACCTCTGTGTTTCTGATTTTGTGAATCCAACCCTCTAAGTGTGCTCAGAGGGCTGGTTAACCTCTATGGCTTTTTTAGTATGCTCAAGGGTATTTTAAACAGACTCAGAAAGGGTGGAAATAGTATGAAAGAAACTCGCAGTGACTCACAGACCCTACTACTGGAGTTGTAGGCAAATGTTTTGTCCCTTTTATTTTAATAACATAAGAGTTTTAAAAACAGTGTGACTAGGCAGTTACTAGAATGGCAACAACGTAGCCGCTAGCATCTGTCATCTTATTTTCAGCTTACTTTGCAGATTTCTTACTTTACAATGCCAAAGACTTTGTTGGCATTTGATTTTATGAGCCACCCACCACCCTAGAATAGACCAGAAGATTACATTAAAATATAATTATGTACTGGTGTCTATTCTTGCTGTTGAAAAAGTTCTTAAAGTTGTTAGCATAGGCCAAAGTTTTGTTTAACCTAATAATGAAGAAACCAGCAGGACAGCAGAGAGCTAGATCTGAGAGCACTGGTTTGTGGGATGATCTGTTGAAAAAGAAACAGAGAATAAAATTGCTAAATTATATATATGATTGGCTAATTTTCTAAAGAGCAGCAAATCCATACTGCCTTTGAGGGTAACATCGCTGTTGTGCTATTAGATTGAAACAGCTTATTAATTTTCTGCAGTTTAACTTCCAACCTCTCAGAGCCATTAAACACCATTCTATGATATTTCCCAAGACTGGCTTCTTCCAAAATACGCGTGAATGGTATCACAATCCATGTGTCATCATATTAGCTTATTCCATAGTTTGAGATAAGTTTATCTTGAATACCAGTACTTTTAGCAGTTTTATTTTATCAAAATTTCTTTAAAGGTAAGCTTTGTTTGTTTATTGAGGGAGGTTCTTGTTTTCTCAAACTGGAGAATGATGAACAGAAAAAGATAAGCAAGAATTTGTATTAAAAAGTGAATGTGGAACTGTTGAAAATATGGCTCACCTGGTTTTTTGAAAGCTAGTTTCCAGATTGTTAGCAAAATGAAGACTGCGATTTTCTTAATTTCTTTGAATTAGCTATATTTAATAACATTTCAAAGCATCTCTATTTTCTGTAATGACAGGCGTACAGTGTACTATCTGCAATTCCTTCTTAGGTACTTAGAAAAGCTCTTTTCACCTTTGGTATGAAGTATGCTGCAGTTAGTCAGCAGTCTTGTCAGTCCAGAAATCTAGTATTCCAGGCTATAGAAATTTTCTACTTAATGAGATCTACAAGTTCCAGACAAAGAGTTCAAATAAACTCTTCTCTCTCCCTTGAAATATTTAACCTAGGGAGAAATTACCTCAAAATTTAACAATATTTATTTTTATTGGGTTATATTTGACATATAACATTAAGTTTCAAGTGTATAATTGTATATATTGCAAAATGATCACCAGAATAAGTCGTTAACTTCATCACCATACTTAATTACAATTTTTTTCTTGTGATAAGAACTTTTAAGATTTATTCTCTTAGCAATTTTTAGATGTACAGTATAATACAGTCTCCATTCTGTAACATTATATCCCCATGACTTGTTTATTTTATAACCAGAAGTTTGTATTTTATGACTTTCTTTACCCATTTTGCGCATCCTCCAATCCCTCCTCTGACAATCACAAATCTGTTCTCTGTATCTTTGAGCTCAAGATTATTTGTTTTGTTGTTTTGTTTTAGATTCCATGTATAAGTGAAATTATATATTATTTACCTTTCTCTTTATAGTCTAACTCTCACATCCATACAGGACTCCTGGAAAAACCAAAGCTTTGACTAGACAGACCTTTGTTGGCAAAGTGATGTCTCTGCTTTTTAATATGCTGTCTAGGTTGGTCATAACTTTTCTTCCAAGGGCCAAGTGTCTTTTAATTTCAGGACTGTGATCACCAACTGCCCTGATTTTGGAGCCCCATGAAAATAAAGTCTGTCACTGTTTCCATTGTTTCCCCATCTATTTGCCATGAAGTGATGGGACCAGAGGCCACGATCTTAGTTTGATCAGATGTTGAGTTTTAAGCCAACTTTTTCACTCTCCTTTTTCACTTTCATCAAGAGGCTCTTTATTTCTTCTTCGCTTTCTGCCATAAGGGTGTGTCATCTGCCTATCTGAGGTTATTGATATTTCTCCCGGCAGTCTTGATTCCAGCTTGTGCTTCATCCAGTCCAGCATTTCTCATGATGTACTCTGCATATAAGTTAAATAAGCAAGGTGACAGTATACAGCCTTGATGTATTTGGAACCAGGCTGTTTTTCCACAAGAGTTGGACTATAAAGAAAGCTGAGTGCCAAAGAATTGATGCTTTTGAACTGTGGTGTTGGAGAAGACTCTTGAGAGTCCCTTGGACTGCAAGGAGATCCAACCAGTCCATCCTAAAGGAAATCAGTCCTGAATATTCATTGGAAGGACTGATGCTGAAGCTGAAACTCCAATACTTTGGCCACCTGATGTGAAGAGCTGACTCATTTGAAAAGACCCTAATGCTGGGAAATACTGAGGGCGGGAGAAGAAGGGGATTACAGAGGATGAGATGGTTGGATGGTATCATCGTCTCAATGGACATGAGTTTAAGTAAGCCCTGGGAGTTGGTGATGGACAGGATAGCCTGGCATGCTGCAGTCCATGGGGTTGCAAAGAGTCAGACACGACTGAGCAACTGAACTGAACTGAACCTTTCTCTTTCTTACTTTACCTACCAAGATGCCTTCAGGGTCCATTCCTGTTTCTGTAAATCGCAAGATTTAATTCTTTTTATGGCTGAATAATATTGCTCTGTGTGTGTATGTGTGTGTGTGTAAATCTCAGATTTTCTTTATCCATTTATCCATCAATGGGCACTTGGGTTGTTTCATGTCTTGGCTATTGTAAATTATAATACAGTGATCACAGGGTGCGCATATCTTTTTGAGTTTGTATTTTCATTTCCTTCAGATAAATTCCAAAAGTAGAATTACTGGATTGTATGGTGGTTCTAATTTTTAAAAGAAAAATTTTTTTGAGAGACTTCTATACTGTTTTTCATAGTGGCGACACCAATTTACATTCTCACCAACAGTGCACAAGGGTTTTCTTTTCTTCACATCTTGCCAATACTTGTTTCTTGTCTTTTTGATAATAGTTATTCTAAAAGTGTGCCATATGATACCTCTTTGTGGCTTTGATTTGCATTTCCCTGATGATCAGTGATGTTCAGCACCTTTTCCTACCTGCTGGCCATCTGTATTTCTCCTTTGAAAAAGTGTTCAGATCCTCTGCCTATTTTTTAATCATATTGTGTTTTTGCTATTGAGCTGTATGAGTTCTCTATGTATTTTGGATGTTAACCCCTTATCAAATATGTGATTAGTGAATATTTTCTCCCATTCTTTTTTTCTCCCATGCCTTTTTATTTTGTTGACAGTTTCCTTTGCTATGAAAAAGTTTTTTAGTTGGGTGTAGTCCCACTTGCTCTGTTTACTTTTGTTGCATTTGATTTTGGTGTTGAATCCAAAAATATTATCTCTAAGACAAATGTCAAGAAGCTTACTGCCTGTATTTTCATCTAGGAGTTTTATTGTTTTGGGTCTTACGTTCAAGTATTTAATTCATTTTGAGTTAATTTTTGTGTATGGTGTAGGTAGATGGTCAGGTTTCATTCCTTTGAATATGGCTGTCCAGTTTTCCTAGTGGTGTGTACTGAAGAGACTGTCCTTTCCTCGCTGTGTGTTCCTGTCTTCTTGGCCATAGATCAATTGACCATTTATACATCTGGGCTCTCTTGTTTCACTCCATTGATCTGTGTATCTTTCTCTCCCTTTTTTTTTTTGGCTGCACAACTTGCAGGGTCTTAGTTCCCCAAACAGGGATTGAACCCATACTCTCAGCAGTGAAAGCTCGGTGTCCTAACCACTGGACCCCCACAGAATTCCCATATGTCCTTCTCTTTTTAGCTGCCAAGAACACAGACTTAACACCCTTTCAAATCAATTAAGACTCTTCATTTGATCATTTCATTTGAATGCCTTCCAAGCATCCTTGATCGATATTAAAGCAAAATATTTTCTTAGTTAATTTTCTGGTAGAGAGCAGGAGGCAGCGCCATAGAGAAAGGTTAGTTCTCGAAATCTGAGTGCATTTCCACTGTATTTCTTTCACCAGATGGCTTACTTGAAGGAACAGGGTGTGATCTCCCCTGTTGTCCTCAACTAGGCTTTGGACTGCTTGCGAAAGTGTCCTTTTCCTGTAGATGGGCATGAAGTGAAAGTGTTAGTCCCTCAGTAGTATCTGACTCTGCGACCGCATAGATTTTGGCCCACCAGGCTCCTCTGTCTGTGGAAGTTTCCAGGCAAGAACACTGGAGTGGATTTCCATTCTCTTCTCCAGGGGATCTTCCCGACCCAGGAATCAAACCCAAGTCTCCTGAGTTGCAGGCGGATTCTTTACCGTCTGGGACACAAGAGGGCTCTGTAGATAGGCATATGATACAGAAACCTACCTTGTCTGTTGACTTTTCCCAGTTCCAGCTTTCCCAATGCCTGTCTAATTCTATTTATTTTTCCCTAAAATCTTCCCTTCTAGTTATGACCAAGCTAATCATAACTCAAGGAGGTTTATCTACTCTTGTGAGTAAGTATGCCACTGTTTCCTGATTGTCCCAAACAACTTGAAAATCTGCATTAAAAGTAGCCCAGCCAGCATAAGATCTGGAAACTCTAGGGATGATGTGAAGTTGAAGTAGTTTTCACATTTTGTGTAATTGAGCCAAACCTAAGAAAGCCAGGTTCACTAGTCTTCACTTGTGGTAAGGCCGATGAGCCTGTGGCTTTTGGTTTTACCACAATGCTGGATTTAAAGCTCTAAAAGAGGCTGCAGCAGATAAGTAAACTCTTCATGTGCCCAGAATTTAGTTGTATTTTTTTCTTTACTTTTTCCTCTTTTATTTAAAGCAAGTGAATCATGAAGTAAGGCATTTTGATAAAAATTATGTTCATGTACAGTTAATTTGATGGACATAATACACTAGTAGTTCCAGAGGTAATTGCAATTAAGAATCAACTATAAGATTTAAAACAAACTATCAAAGGCCAGATCACACCCACGCTATATCTATTAGAATCTCAGGGGTTTGGGTCAAAAATGTTCATGTGTATTTAAAGTATCCCAAGTGATTCTGATGTATAGACATGATTGAGAACCACTAATATAAAGAAATAGGCAACTAGGAGTAAATTATTTTTCCTCCCTTCAGTGACACCTTTACTGAAAGTCACTCTTCCAGATGGTTAATCTTGTTCACTTCATAAAACATTTTTATTATTTTTGAATATAATACATTGTTGAATACATTGTTGAAAAAATTGTAATTTATAAAGGATACCAAAAAAAAAAAAAATAAAGGATACCAAGAGGGCAATACACAAATTTTTGGAATAACCATTAGCATTCACCACTTAAGAGTTATAAAAGGAATACATGCTGCCCTAGCAACCTCACTTTCACTTTTCACTTTCATGCATTGGAGAAGGAACTGGCAACCCACTCCAGTGTTCTTGCCTGGAGAATCCCAGGGACAGAGGAGCCTAGTGGGCTGCCGTCTGTGGGGTCACACAGAGTCGGACACGACTGAAGCGACTTAGCAGCAGCAGTGGCTCAGATGGTAAAGAATCTGCCTGCAGTGATTCTTAATGATTCTTTAGTGTAGGAGACTTCAGATTTAATTGCTGGGTCAGGGAAGACCCCCCTGGAGAAGGGAATGGCAACCTACTACCAGTATTCTTGACTGGAGAATCTCCTGGACAGAGGAGCCTGTTGGGCTACAGTCCATGGGGTCACAAAGAGCTGGACTAACACACGTAACAAAGTAAAAAGTCAAAGTTCCCTACTAGTCCCCATGTTCCTCTCTCCTCAGAGCTAGTAAAACTCTTAAGGTCATTGTGCTCTCTGACATTTCACTTATGTTATATCCTCCTTAAAATTTAACAACATTCAACTGATCAGAGCACTGAGAGAGATCTAAAGCAAGTGAATTTGGAGACTTACCAGAGCACAACCCAGAGCACGGCCACTGGTTGGTTAGTAGGGACTGTCACAGAACTCTCAGGTGATGCTCTTTCTGTTCCCTCTGAAGTGAGGTCTGCAAGTCTGAGGCAGAAAAATGGAAAGCCTCTCATCTTCTCCAACCTTGATAGCTTAGTCTCTTCAGAATTCCAGAAAACTTTCTTTTCTCTAAATTCTTTTTCTTTCAGGGACTTAATCTTTTTTCACTTCCTGTTTTACAAAAGCTTCACTTACAATTCTTTGTATGGTTTACTTCTGTTGGAGAAACTATGTGAGACGCAGTTTTTACCAGGCAGGTCTGGGTGGCTAACTGTGTTTAAATGTGTGGATTTACCTGTATCACCTCTCCCATGCCTAGAGGAAACAGTTGTTTCCAACACACCCTGCACTGAATTTTAGAGTGGATACAGTACTGTCACAGTTAGATACTGAAGACCAACTTCTTTTTCTTAAATGTTTCAACTTCTCATGAAATTACTCAATAGCCTTATTGCACTGAGTTTTTTTCTAGGAATGAAGCCCAGAGTGATGAAAGAAGCAGTTTCTACTCCATCACGAGTGACCCACAGAGATCAGGAATGGTATGATGCTGAAATTGCCAGAAAACTTCAAGAAGAAGAAATCTTGGTGAGCAGAATTTAACACAAGATTTTAGGTGAATCAGTTTTTTGTGAATTGAATCAACCTTGGCATTTATATAATAGGTGTTTTAGTCCTTTCTGTTGAGAAACTGATACCTTTTTTATGGGTGGAAAAAGCAAGACAACAGGAATAATGTGTCCAGTTTTATTCACTGAGTAAGCATTCAGTTCAGTTCAGTCCAGTAACTCAGTCGTGTCCAACTCTTTGTGACCCCATGGACTGCAGCACACCAGGCCTCCCTGTCTATCACCACTTCCTGGAGCTTACTCACACTCATGTCAGTTGAGTTGGTGATGCCATCCAACAATCTCATCCTCTCTCGTGCCCTTCTCCTCCCACCTTCAGTCTTTCCCAGCATCAGGGTCTTTTCAAATGAGTCAGCTCTTCACATCAGGTGGCCAAAGTACTGGAGTTTCAGCTTCAGCATCAGTTCTTCCAATGAACACCCAGGACTGATCTTTACAATGGACTGGTTGGATCTCCTTGCAGTCCAAGGGACTCTCAAGAGTCTTCTCCAGCACCACAGTTCAAAGCATCAATTCTTCAGTGCTCAGATTTCTTTATAGTCCAACTCTCACATCCATACATGACTACTGGAAAAACCATAGCCTTGACTAGACGGACCTTTGTTGGCAAAGTAATGTCTCTGTTTTTTAATATGCTGTCTAGATTGGTCATAACTTTTCTTCCAAGGAGTTAAGTGTCTTTTAATTTCATGGCTGCAATCACCATCTGCAGTGATTTTGGAGCCCAAAAATATAAAGTCTGCCACTGTTTCCATTGTTTCTCCATCTATTTGCCATGAAGTGATGGGACCGGATGCCGTGATGTTTGTTTTCTGAATGTTGATATTTAAGCCAACTTTTTCACTCTCCTCTTTATTATGCACTGCATAATTTGGTAAAAATAAACCCTGTCTTGGCTAATGATTGCCAGGAGCAATATCAATATCCTCAAATATGAAGATGAACTGAACTGAAAGACCTGTCCCACAGATTGTCTCGAGCACAGAGTGCCTCACTCGACCCTGAACTCCCTCAAGTTGTGTTGAAGGCCAGCAGCTGCCACAGCACAGGGTTTAGTCTTTGCAGAGCAGATGGCAGATGCCCTATTTGCTTAGTTGTCGCCAACAATCTTGGCAAGTGCCAGCCTGTAGTTGACAGTATATATATATGTATAATGGAATACTATTCAGCTATAAAAATGAGGAAATCCTTCTGTGCCACAGACTCTGACTGAACTGAACTGGCTAATGAAAGTATATAAACTGATTATCATCTTCAGGGATGTTGATCACAGTTAGTTTCAAATACCAGTGTTTGTTTGTTTGTTTGTTTGTTTGTTTGAATGTAAGCCTTTTTTTTTTACCCCCAATGGACAACTTAAGATTCCAGTTAAATTATACTTTTTGTGTTTTCTGTACCATAGGCTACCCAGGTGGACATGAGAGCAGCTCAGGTTGCCCAAGATGAGGTGCGTTCATGTTAATTTGTTTAGCCATTATTCTTTGGAAATATCCCAGTAATTTTCTACTTACAGCTTTGCAATTTTTGTTTAGGAAATCGCTAGACTTCTAATGGCTGAAGAAAAGAAAGCTTACAAGAAAGCCAGGGAGAGGGAGAAATCATCTTTGGACAAAAGAAAGCATGACCCTGAATGGAAGGTAGAGTCTGTTTTTTTTGTTTTTTTTTTCAGTTTGGTTGTATTCTTTAATATCAATTTTTATATAATTAGCCCCCAAACTGTGTTCAATTACTAACAATTAATCTTTTTTTTTCATTTATTTTTATTAGTTGGAGGCTAATTACTTTACAATATTGTAGTGGGTTTTGCCATACATTGACATGAATCAGCCATGGATTTGTATGTGTTCCCCATCCCGATCCCTCCAGCCTCCCTTCCCATCCCATCCCTCTGGGTCTTCACAGTGCACCAGGCCCGAGCACTTGTCTCATGCATCCAACCTGGGCTGCTGATCTGTTTCACCCTTGATAATATACTTGTTTCAATGCTATTCTCTCAGAACGTCCCACCCTTGCCTTCTCCCACAGAGTCCAAAAGTCTGTTCTGTAATCTGTGTCTCTTTTTCTGTTTTGCATATAGGGTTATCGTTACCATCCTTTTAAATTCCATATATATGCTTTAGTATACTGTATTGGTCTTTATCTTTCTGGCTTACTTCACTTTGTATAATGGGCTCCAGTTTCATCCATCTCAGTAGAACTGATTCAAATGAATTCTTTTTAATGGCTGAGTAGTATTCCATTGTGTATATGTACCATAGCTTCCTTATCCACTCGTCTGCTGATGGGCGTTTGTTTTTAATGAAAAATGCAAGTAAAACTATAATGGGGAGTCCTCTTTTAGGGTAAGCTCACAGATATATTTAGGGCATATAAATTATCTGTCTCTCGTATGTGAATCTGACTTACAAGAGTTGTTTCACCATGAAAACTCATATTGAATTCTTGAAAGTAACTATGTAAAGAAGTTACTTATGAGGTTGAAAAACTCCTTTCCTTCATTTTAAGACCTACTGAGAGGTAGGTGCCTATGGCCACAAGCAGACATAGTTTTACTCTGCTTGCCTTTCAGGAGAGTGCAATGTTTTCCATATACTTTTAAATTTCCACAGGGGCCTTCCCCTCCTCTTTGGACTTTTCTGTTCGGTTATATTGTCCTTCCTTCTTGATCCTATGCCAGCTGTCTCTCTTGCCTCTGGCATCACTTGATCCATGGCAGATGGACAGCCATTCTTACCACCAGCCATCATTGCTTATGAAACTGTCTAGCATGAGCTTCAATTGTTACCTTCTTCTCATTAATCAGAAATAGTAGAGACAAAATAAGACAGCGACTGCTGTTCATTCTGCCATAGTCTAATTATTGTATGTGGTGACTGCAAGTTTAGTTAAACAGATCTTCCTCATTAGTTTGTCTGGACTTACAGGGAGAGACAAAGATAGATTTTCTTCAGAATAATGTATAATGTTGGGAAGCAGAAAGACTATAGACAGCTAACAAATGTGAGGTCATGCTGGCTGAAAAATGCCTAATGGAAAGACAGAAGGAGCTGGAGTGAAGATTTATATTGTAAAAGCTTTCAGGGAGGTAGTCTGTACTGGGCTGGAAGGATGCAGCCAGATGTGTCCATGATATGGTTGAGGTTGCACTTGGTTCTTCTCCTCCCCGCTTCCCTCCCTCTCTCAAAGAAAATCATCCCTTGGGCCTCTGGTCCTGTCACAGTCTCAGCATATGTTTTGAGAAAGTGAAGAAAGAGAAAGTATTGTAATAGTATTTCTCTACTGTTGCCTGTTGCTCAGTTGTGAATCTAAAAGCAAATGAAAATATTATTTCCATGTTATCCATTTATCCTGTTTGTAATTTAGGATTTCTCCAAACAAACATATCATTTTCATAGAAGGCTTCCCAAATGCTCCTGTTACATAAATTAAGCTGCAAGTAATTGCCCAAGAGTTCCTCAAGTTCTTTGTTAACTCAGCTATGCTGGAGTAGGTATTTTTAAAGATTACAAATCAGGAAGGGAAGAGAAAGAAGGTCACATTTCTAGCAAGCATCAGGACTTCTGTTATTTTTAGATTCTGTCAGTGGGGCTGGAGTTATTCCTCTCTAGAATAGCTGGCATGAATATGCCTTATTTCTGGGCTTGAAAGTTTATCATCCCCAAGTCAGATGTTAAGAAACAAGTTTAAGAGCGTGAAGCTGGACTCCATAGACTCTGGAAGTCCTCCAGTTCTGTTACTGAACCAAACTTGGATCTGCTTGCTTTGCACAGTAAAGCAAATCTACTGATATACCGGGCTGTGGTCAAGGAAAGTGTAGCACTTATTGTAAGGCTCCACACGTGTAGTCAGGGACAGCTGGTACTCAAAAGGCCCAAACTCCCCAGTGGCTTTCAGGAAAGCACTTTTAAAAGATCTGGAGAATGTGTGCTTGTGGTCATCAGGTAGTTCACGTCTTCCATGCGGTGGGGGTTTTCACACCTGTAAACCCACTCGGGAGTGAGCACCATATGCTTTTATCTCAGCACTTCATAAAAGAGCTGCAGCAGAGGATGTGGGTCAGGGGAAGGCTTGAGAGGGTCGTGCTTGCTACAGCTCTTGTCAGCTGCCGTGTAGCTGCCTTGTTACTAGTGGGTGACGAAGCACACCTCTGTGGTCAAGCCTGCTTGTGAGGGTTTAGTCCACTCATCTGGTTGCACTGACAACCTGCAACACTGTTTCATAACTATAATTTTTTGGTCTCTAAGTGACTGTGTTTAAAAATATTTTATGTTGCTCAGCTAGGTGTAAGGAACCTAAAATTATGAAAGGAGAGTTTGACATCATTTAGATAATCTATAAATCTAATCTCTCTCTGTTTGCTGTTTTCTGTGTGTGTATGTCTTTTTTCTTTCCCCCTTAGCCCAAAACAGCTAAATCAGCACACTCAAAGTCAAAAGAGAGTGATGAACCTCACCGTTCTAAGAACGACAGACCTGCACGGTAAGATGACACCTGAAAAGGGGACTGAGGATCTTGACCTTGGGGTGAGCAAGAGATATGGGCTGCCTGAAAAGAGTGTGTGTTCCTTGGAGAGGAGATCCAGAAATCTGAAGTTGTGAGGAGGTATCAAGTCTTACAGGATTATTTTCAAGCTTTGTTTTCTGTTTTAAATTGTGTTGAACAAGTCAAGTCAGGAAGATGGGGAATTTTACAGAAGCTGAGGTAAGGAGAGATGCACTTTTTTTGTTAGGACCAGTTCTTATCTCTGGAGTCACTAATTGACTGCCTTCAACTAAGAAGGGATGAGATTAACCATTTTCTTAAGTAAAATCTCAGGTTTTAAATGTTTACTGAGTTCCATGATCACATTGGTGTGTGCATGACATTTACACACGTCTAAGTTCATTTCTGTGTGAGTCTCAGTGTCCTAGACAAATACTCATTTCAGTCATTGCAGACTGTTCTTCATCCCACAACAGCATGTAGCTGTGGCTACAGTATATGTATACTTTCTGACTTTTCCCAGGCAGTCTGGGGTGGTGGTTATGGAGCAACTGCTACTTTTCCACTGCAAATTGTCAACATTTAAGTCTTTGGGAAGCAGCCTTTATTTTTTTATTGTTTTCTGTTGCTTTTCAAGGAAAAACTGATTGGAAGAGGAAGAGAGAATGTTAAATAGAAAAAGACAAAAGTAACACTAAATCTAACATTTGAAAACTCTAAATTATTGAAACTTTGTACAGTATTTTGGTCCTGATTATTGATATATTTACTAATTGTTAAAGCATAAGTTTTATGACATTGAAAAATATACACTCTTGTTGTCACTCACTGCTCAACGATTGAACTACTAGACTTATTTCCTTAAATAGAATATATTTAATGTTCTTGAAAAGCTATACTCTGGTTTTAAACCCATGGGCTTTCAGAAGATAATACCTTTCAGAAAATTATATCAGATTGTAAAACATTTAGGGCACAGTAGTGTAGTTTGTCTAATTGTATACAGTTGGTTCTTCTTATAGCTTTTAGTTACACACATGCCAAATGTCTTTTAAAGCAAATTTTAGATTTAGTTCAGCTTTATTTATATCCCTGCACAACATCCAAGTAAAATAAGAAGAACTAATCTGTTCTCAGTAGGTAAATAGGTAGGTGTTGCTTATTATGCCTATTTTTTTTTAAATAAAGGGAATTAAAATCATCTTTAGAGTTATTTTGCAGCCTTTGAAGTCCTTGGACTTTTTAGAACACCAGTATTTTTGACAGCATAGGATAGAACAGCATGAAATGTCTATTTAAAGGATTTATTAAAGTTGAAAACAACTTTCTGAAATGTAATGGGTTCTCTTAAAAATATTTGATATATTGAAAGAACGAATAATCAAATGATTGTGTGTTAAAACTGGCCATTGTAAATGAGTGAAAAGTGGCCTATGACTAGTAAAACTGAAGTCATTTTTTGACTTAAGACAAATATTTGTCTTTATTAAAATAAAAAAATAGTTTTATTTTTTTAGCAAATAAAATACAAAAAAAAAATCTTTCTTTGCAGAAAGACTATGGCAAAGCAAAATGAATAAGAATTTTATGAAACCTGTATTTCATAGTTAAAACTTATAGCTTATGATCTTATTATAGATAACTTGTACAATTAATGTTAGAAGGTATGCTTTGTTAAGGTTAGAGTCTGTGGTTTCCTCTTTCGCATTTAATCATGGTGGAAGATGAGTTAACCATTTGTACAGAAAGAGATGGTTGCAGGGATTGAGAAACATGGAGCTTGCTAGTTCAAGATGTTTTCTTCAGTGTAGTACTAATAGTGGTACAGGGAAACAGGGTCTCATGTAGAGCTTATAACAGTCATGGTGAAAAGTCGTTTTCATTGTCCATTACAGATTTCTGCTCTTAAAAAACAGAAAACTAGTTGGCAATCTGAATTAATTCCAATTCTTGTAATTGGAAAAAATTTTAACCTAAGTTCTAAACTGTTTTAACTATAGGATTTTGTGTTAATAATGCTACTTGGTATTTTGTTTTTGTATTTTTCCCTTAGAAAAACTTAAGGATTTTATAAATGTCATTTGGTTCCTACAGTGTTCTTATGAATATGAAATATATTTTTCTCCACTTATTCATTTATCTAGTGTTTATTGAGCCCCATAATAATTGCCCAGACCCAGAGTAAGTGGCAGTCAACAAAAATTTTCTTGCTCTTATGAAATTTATAATCTAAACAGACAGTTATACAGCTAACTACTATAATTGTGTTAAATGCTAAGGATGAAAAATGCAGGTTGTTAGAAGAGCATAAGGAGACATTTAACCTAGTCTGGGTGTCTGGGAAGGCTTCTTGAAGAAATGAATTTTGAGTGAATTCTGAAGTATATTCGGTTTTATCACTAGCTTAAATATATAAACCATTTCATAAGAACAGTTAGAAACAGGTAATCCTAATACATCAGAAACTATAAAACAAACTATTAGTTAACAAGATTTTTCCAACTTTGGATTTAAATACCCCTAACTGAAATAACTGTCTCCAGTGCAACAAATAATTTGGTAGGACCCCTGGAAGCATTAACCCAAGATTTGTTCTCCACATAAGCAAAAAATTAATAAAACAGCACACCAGATAACTGAGGATATCCTAGACTGATTTGTTTATACTCTTGGGGGGATCCTAGAGGATTTGTTGGCATCCTGACCTTTGTTCAGCACCTCAGCATCCCTTTCCTTGGTGAAGAGTTTTTCTGACAGTGCCAGTTGGCTTGCGTTTCTCCAGTATTTGGTCATCTAATGAAGATAATGAAAAGAGTAAAATATAGACCCTGCCACCCTCATTACAAAGCCTGTTTTCTTGAGTGTAAGTTACTTCTTTAGTTAACATTCTTAATTCTGGAGTCAGATTGCTTTGTCTCAACTTTACCTGCCAAGACTTATGTTACTTTTTAAAGGTGAATGTTCTAAGTGTCTGTGAATAATGAAAGAAAAACACTTATTTAATTTCTAACATTTATAAACAAATGATTCCATGCTCTTAACACATAGTTTGAGCACACCTTTGGGAAACACCAAAAAAATGAGAGATTTTGTTTTACAGCTTTAACAATGCCAAGTGTCTGCAAAAATCTGTAATATAATTAAACTAATAGAAGTTTGGAGCCTTAAAAATTTCCCATATGTTTTTTTACAGTTGTCTTGTTTTGACATGAAGTTGCACATGTATTAAAGCTGTCCTTTCCTTCTCTAAGCTCTACTCTGCCACCTAGTGGTGTAACAAACTTTGCTTTAAATTTTCTGTGTTGACCAATGTCCCATCTCCCTCCCTTCTTAGCTGCAGCCTTCTCTCCCTTAATTACTTTCTTACCCCATCTGTCTGTTCCTTTCTTTCTCTTTTTATTGATGAAACCTGCAAAAACAAAATATATTTCTCATTAATGGCAGTGATCATATCTCATTAATCTTTGTTTATCTATCCCTTAGCACAGTAAATGAATGTGAATGTATTAATTGCTCAGTTGTGGCCGACTCTTTGTGATCTCATGGACTGTAGCCCACCAGGCTCCTCTGTCCATGAGATTCTCCAGGCAAGAATACTGGAGTGGGTTTCCATTTCCTTCCCCAGGGGATCTTCCTGACCCAGGGATTGAACACAGGTCTCCCGCATTGCGGTCAGATACTTTTACTGTCTGAGCCCGCTGGGAAGCCCGCCAGTGCCTCAAACTTATTAGCACAATGCCCTCACACTTATTAGATGCTCAGAAGATACTTGCTTTTATTGAATTATGTGCATCAAAACAAAGAAACAAGTTAAATAATTTATCCAAGGTTATACAACTGGCTCGGAACTACCATGAGGATTCTGAAATATTCTGGCTTTGCATCTCCACCGAAACTATGTTTTCTAAGTGATCCAGTGAGGGGTAGAATCATAGTCATCACTACATAGAGTAGCTGTTTAAATCTTGACTTTTCTTAGGCCACCACCACCTGCCATGACAGATGCTGAGGGTTTGGATTACACTCCTTCTGGAAACCAGCATAACTCCACACGTCACTGCTCAAAGTCAGAGTCTTCTCATAAAGGTAAGACAAGTGTATTTTCAGCTGTAAGATCTTTTAATAATCACCATGCTATAGTGGAAAAGCCAGGTGCTATATTATAGATCACTAGAGTGGAAAAATAAGTTCGTCTTCTGAGCAGATCATTATATTATTCTTCTTTATTAGAGGGCTTCCCTGATAGTTCGGTTGGTGAAGAATCTGCCTGTAATATGGGAGACAACAGTTCGATTCTCCTGGGTTGGGAAGATCTACTGGAGAAGAGCTATTCTTCATTTATTAAAAAATAAACAAAAAAATGATTTAAAAATAGGAAGCAGACACCTTAAATTGGATGGAAGATTTTCTGTGTGCACTTGGTTGAGCTTTGAACAACACAGTTTTGAACCGCTTGAGTGTCCATTTATACATGGAATTTTTTTTTCTTCCTGTAGTGAATACTGTAGTACTACACCATCCATGTGGGTGGGTCAGCAAACAGATACACAGAGGGCCTCTGTAAATTGTACGTGGATTTTCAGCTATGCAAAGGGTCAGTGCCTCTAACCCTCCCTGCATTGTTCAGGGGTCAACAGTATTTGCATTTTCTTCTGGGAGAATTCATAGCTTTTATCAGCCGCAATGGGTGGCTTTGTACCCCATTTAGGTCTCTTGGACTTTTACTGTCCTGGCTGTTGTTTCCCATCAGCCCATGACTCTCTCTTAATTAGATTAAAGTACACAGATACACATACGCATCACAGAAACATCACACAGAAGAAAAATGGGGCGAAGAAAAATGGGGCAAAGAAAATGAGGAAAGAACATGAGATTTAAGTTGGACCAGATCTTTAAAATGAAAGGAATAATCAGGTCTGTCTCCTTTACCAATGATAGGCATTGACTTAATGTGTAATTTTATGACAGTCATAAAATGAGATAATGAAAATGTAGTTTCTTATATTAATTTGCTCATCTAAAAATATAGGTGATTTTAATGGTGTCAGCATTGTCAGGATTATAGAAGTAAAATATATGAGAGCAGATTGCAATAGACTTCACAAATATTAGGTCCTATTAGTTGATGTTTTTTATTTTTTTTGTTTTTTGAAGATTTCTTAGGTGATGTTTTCATTATCTTTTCCCAAATCTAATGATTACCTTTCCAAGCTTACTTAAATTTTCTTTTCTGCAGTGATATACAAGATACCAATGCACAGGTGCCACTCCAAACCCTTTAAATTTTGGGGGACACATTTTGCCAGGCGTTGTATTTTTTTAATCTCTCCTTATTATCCAACAATTAAAAATAAAAGTAATAAACAGCTCTCCTTCTCCTGTTCCCCTATCATTCTGCCATTTATCCAATGTTGAGAATAAGCCAAAAAGATGAGATTAGTTGAACATTATCAAAACAACCCCTACACTACAATTTTCATCAGTTGGTGACCTTTTCAGCATCCCTTGTTTAACTCATGATTTCTTTCTCAAATTGTATACAAGCATTACTTTTAGGGGGTGCATTCATGTCCTTGTCATACATTTGATACATAATACTAAACCAAGACATTGATTCTGAATATAAGTACAGTTTCCCTAGGTACCTATCTGCAGCAGATTGGTTCCAGAATTCCCGAGGATCTCAAAATCCCTGGATTCTTAAGCCCCTTAGATAAAATGTCATAGTATTTGCATATGACCTACGTACACCCCCCCCAAACCAAATCATCTCTAGATTACTTATATTAATAATGCATAATACAAGGTAAATGCTCTGTAAAGACTTCAAACATATGTCAAATTCAAGTTTTGTTTTTTGGAACTTTCTGGGATTTTGTTTTTTTTTCTGAATATTTTCAATCCATGCTGGATGGAGAACCCACAGATATGGAGAGCCAATTTGTATGCTTACAACCAAGAACAAACAAAACACATGAACCATTTGAAATGCATAGAAATATAGATAACATTGGTTTATTTGAACAGGGAGAAAAACAGTGTCTCTGAGATTTTTTCCTTAATTGTTTTTCTTCCTTTTTCCTTCTCTCCTCAGGTTTCCATTATAAACCGTAAAAACCTAGGAATCTGCCTTGAAAATGGACTCACTGTAGCAAAATTACTGGATGATACAGAACACATTCCACGCTTATTTTTTTCTTCCTCTATTTTGTATTCCTGAGATTTATCCTCAAGTGTTTTTTGAACCATGAATAATTTTCATTCATTTAAAATGTTTTGGTTATTCCTGATCACTTGGGCAGTACAAGAAAATCTAGCTTCTGAATATTGGCCATCTCTAAGGAGCCTATGCTTCCTGGGGTGTAGTATCTAAGAGCTCTATAAAATGCCATTTTCATTAGGTATGGAGTATTGATATTTAATGAGTAGGCTTTACTTAGCAGTTAGGATTTTGTGGAGGTAGTGATCGAAGTAAAACATAATGTTTGGATGCAATGCAGAATAAAAGAATATAAGAAATAGCTTTTTGGTGCATTAGTGTATGATATATTAAAAGATAAGAGACTTTCGCTTTTTTTTTGTTGTTTTCTATTCAGGGAAAGAAAAAAATCACAACCATAAAGTATTTAAAAAGAAAAAAAAAAAAGGAACAGTTGAAATATGTAACTGACTATAAAGACTGTAGAGGTTTTATGTATCCTTACACACCCTCCTGGGAAAATTGGCCTAGATATCATTCAATAACACCATCTCTGCCATTGCCTCCTCAATAGCAAAAATTCTGAAGCCTCTGGGCATTGAACCATTTTTTAGTACTTATTGGCAAAAATTTAATTCTAAGAAGTTTTAACTCAAGTTTGCAAGATCAATTAAAGATGAAAAATTTTGTATCCCTTCTCTTATTTTACATTTACGTATAAAGCCAAGGGAATTAGAATTGGAAAGATGTTTATATAAGTAATGATGCTGTCATTTTCTCTGGCTGTAAGATTGAATTTTTCCTCCTGCATATAAAACATAACAGCATTGCTTGGCAACTTCTCAAAAATACTTTGTGTTATCTGTCAATAAGCAGATTAATTGGACTTGAAGTTGATAAAGAAGCTCTTCATCCAAGTATTTGGTCCTGCACATATGTTAGTGACACATGGGCATTGGATTCCTTTGTGCCAGACCTTAAACCCCTCTTTAGGAAATCTGGAATTTTTGTTAATCTTCTAGCCTCATGGAAATGCTTCTTTTTCCATACCAGTTAGTTAACATAAATATCAGTCATGCTGTATATTCAGTGTATTTATACTTGAGAAAAAAGTTGTTAATCCATTCCTTTCTGGCTGGGAACTGCCTTCTGTTTGCCTTATCTTTTGAAATAGTCTTTCTAGTTGGGCAATATTCACGAAGTTTTTTAGACTAGCTTCTCAGAGGATTTGGATTTTTCATTTTGAGGAATAGCTTTAGTTTCATAGTTTTTAGATTGTATAAACTTAAGTAAAGGATACTTAAGAGTTTAAGTTTTGAGAAAATGATAATCTAATAAAACCCTTAAGGTTGTAGTCATTTTAGAGAAATAGGGAAAAGGAAAAGAACAGAACTTTGCATGTCCAGGATGAAATGACTGAGGAAGAAAAATCTTCAGTTAAATAGACAAGAGGAGACCAAATGGACGTCCTAGCCTTAAATCAAATTCCAGAGGATGTTTTAAATATCAAAGGTTAGGCCTTGTTGATTCTTGATAATGCTATATTTTTCTTTGTCTGCCCTGTGATTTTGCTTCATGTTTTAAAAAGTTTTTTATGGTAGCTTTAAAGAAAAGAAAAACAATGTATTTTTATTTGTAAATCAGGCAAATGGGCAACATCATTTGCCATATTTTTATTTTATAAATGTTTATTTTTCTATCTCATACAATGATCAGTTCTTCTTTTCAAATTCTCCATTTATCCTTTCATGTACTACTTTATGCAATCATATTTATTACTGTAAAATGCTCACTGGGTGTATTTTACTCAAAAAATGTCAGGTCACTTTACACGTAACCAGGATGTTAGTGTTTCAGCTATGTTAGTAAGTGACCAAAGGTAGTATTTCCCTTGTTACACACAATTCAACATCTGTATTAAAAATTCGTTATTTTTTTTAATTTTTTTAAAAGATGAGAGTTTAAAATATTTTAATTTAATTTAATTTTTTTTTTTATAAAGCAAACACTTTTTAAGGAGTATCAGAGTAATTCTTTCCTTGTGAATAAGAAGACATATCAAACAACCAGTTGAATTCCTCTTATTCTCATTCAAATAGTGTAATTGTTAATTATTGTTAATTTTGAGACTATAGAAGCAACTGTGTGTGTCCATGGAATATTCCAGGCAAGAATACTGAAGTGGGTTGCCATTTCTTACTCCAGGGGATCTTTCCAACCCAGGGATTGAACCTGGGTCTCCTGCATTGCAGGTGGATTCTTTACCACTGCGCCACCTGAGAAGCCCCATATAGAGGCAGCTAGCACTTTATTTTAAGAAACTGCCAAACATCTTCACTGTGTTCTCTGCTTTCCACTTGTCATTTTTATATAAATATGGAAGCATTTATTTTATTTCTTTTCCTATTGCTGGAACACACGCAGTTAAATTTTTAGATCCACAGTGTATTATGCTTTAATGTTGTGATGTAATCATTCTGGCCTTGAAAAATCTCCCTGTTTCCATACCTCTGTTCTCCCAGGGGCCAGACCCCACTAACATCAGTGTTACCGAATGAGCACAGTGTGTTGTGGAGCCTTATCATGAGGCTGCCGGACAAGGACACCCCATCACCCCAACCTAACTCTTTGTAAGTAATCACCTGGAAGCAAGGTTAGAAAAGGGTCAGTTAAAATGTTCTGAGTTGAAGAAATATGTGACTGTATTGTCAAATTGTTGTTAGACATAATTTTTTTGGGCGACTGGATGCTTGCTTCATATGCTTTAAAATGACACTGAGATTTTTAGAATGTGACTTTGCACACAGTGACTTAATATTTATCAAGTGGATTTACAATAACCAGCAGCAGATGAACTGCAGAAAAGACTTCATGGGTTTTGATCATAGGGAAACATCTGAAGTAGAAAATATAAGGATAGATGCTCCCAAGAGGAAAGCCTTTCAAGAATAGCAGTGGCCACTTGGATCTAGATCAACATATTCCAAAAAGCACGACCTTGGGCCTTGTGCTCCATTGAACTCAATTGAGAAAATTAGGAACCGAACCTGTTTTCCCCTTTTCTTTGCCTGGCCTGCAGCAGAACTGGATGATGAATAAATCCATTGCTGACTCTGTCCATACCTTTTGCATAATGTCGGGACTTTTCAGTATAAAACTAATGTTTAACTGATAATTATTTTTCTTTAATGCCGTCAGATATTCTCCGAATTTTGTCTTGTGCCAAATTGCTCTTTAGAAACCCCTGGTATAATATGGTGCATTCAGTTTACCACAATAGTGGTTAACATTTTAGGACCTTGATTTTTAATGAGTGTTGCCTTTATATAAAAATCACGTTGGGGGAGATTATTCATTTATTCAGTGTTGATTTTCTTGAAAGGTAACTGTAGTGATTGTAATATCCTCAGCCTATTAAAAGCACGAGACTGCCACATAAGCAGCTTTCTGAAGAACTGATAACAAAACAGAACTTGCTCTCAAAGGCTTGTTTCCCTTTGGTTTGTGTTGGGGACTTTAATGTAGAAAGGGAACCCTTCCAGTAGATTTCACTGTTACAGAGTGTGTAATATCCTGATAACGTCAGTTTTTTTAGAACCATACATACAAAAATCAAAACCAGGTGTTTGAGCAAAAAAAAAAAAATGAACATTTTTAATAATACTTTGTCTATTTATTGCTTACAGCTCAGAGTGAGAGGAGTGATTAGATAAAGTGGCCCCATTTTTCCTTCTGTCTGGCGGTGCCTGTGTCTGAAAGCCATAACTGCTGGTCTTACTAGTGACAGGATCTTTTTCCTCCCTCATCTCTCGTAGGTCAGCTGGGCAGGGAGACGCACGCGGAGACTGTCCTGATGGTGACGCGCAGGGCTCAGTGTCACCCAGGGCTCTCCAGAAAGAGTCTCTTTCATCCCTGGTGGTACATAAGATCATCAAAGGGAAGACTTGAGGCTGCTGTTGCTCCTGCCGTTTAACTCTCATTAGAAATGGTAGATTTACTTCTAGAGAAGTCAAGAAGGGAAGGGTAAAGAAGGAAACCCTCACTTCCACAGAGTCACTTCTCTTATGAGACTTACACTTAGGTCAGCAACGTCTGTGAGGAGCAGTATTGCCTTAAATTAGTTTGATTCTGACCAAGGTCAGTGTACTGTATTTCCTTAGATGAGTGACTGGCAACTCTCCATTGAGGTATCAAATTCACAGGTGAGCCCCAAACATCCGTGTCATTGGACGTTTTGGACCTCCTGCCACCGAGCTGTGGGTGACGGACATAGTGACAGCTGTGCCATTTCATTTCAGATTGCCTCTTGGTCTCAGTGAGCAGTGGCATGATCAGGAAGGCTGGTGGTTGGAGAGTGAGAATTTCCTGAACTTATTCTTCAGGTGATCACTTCCTGAATAGTTGAGAGTTGACTGTCTTCATTTCCTATGGTGTTTGTGTAGAAGATGTTTCCAAAGGTTCTGTTATGCAGTGAAGTCAGTTACTCTGTAAAAATGTTGCTAACACTCTTTGTGTATTGAAATGCATACAGACGTTAACAAAAAAGGAGAAAAACCAAACAAAACAGAGGCATTTACTCAAATGGCAGATTTGTTGATGTGAAAAGTGTTTCTGTTTTATTACTTTCAAGAGAAAATCAGAAAAACTTTTGCTAGGGTAGGGAAGACACCAGAGTGGTTTTTTAGGCTTGCATTTGATGCCACAGAGTAATACAATGTCATCTAAGTAATCGTGTTGATTTGTGGAAATGTCTGGTCCTAAAGATCACTCTGCCCTTAAATATTTGTGAACACTGCCTAGAAATATGTTCCTAATAGACTTAAATGTTTTTGTGTATTCTCAGCAAACTGGAAAATGTTTCTCTCACTTTTGAGTAAATTTGCATAGCCCAAGGAGCCCGCACTGTGCTGATTTCAGCATTTCAGTTAAGGACAGAGCTAATTGTGTAACTTGGTGCCCCATGACTCGTTGCAGAGGTTCATATAGAAAGAATGGAAGAGTTGAAAGACAGGGTCTGAGCGACATTTCCTTCACAAAAGTGCAAGGGTTAGGGACAGTGAAGAGAAAGTTGAGAGGATATATTGTTACACCTCATATGCTTGGGAGAAGCTTTTGTTGCCCTGAGTTTCGGACCATAATTGCTAAAATAGTTTCTAGCTGTTAAATATAATGGGAAGGTTTTTGATAGAATTTTTTACAATTTCTCATTGAATTAGTCGCTGGAATCCCTGTAGGCTGTAACTTCAGGTTTGCCATCAACTGAAAGCCAAATGCCATTTCCCAGTATAGCTGTATTTTCCACCTGCCTCTTAATAGCAAAGTAGTATTTGTTCATGAAGTATTATGAGATGATAGGATATAAAAATGATATTCCAAAGTGAGAATTCTCTGTAAATGCAGTTGTCCTTAAGAAGAATCTATCCCAACACACTGTTGTATTTTGATGGGTGCTGAATTATAAAGTACAGGAGTTTTTCATATGAATCAAGACACTTAGGAAGTTTGAGGTGTGCTGTTGTTTGTCTCAAAATTTGGAAAAGTACGCTCTTGAGAGGGAAAGATTAATAACTGCACAGTGCCCAAAAGGTTTTGGATGCTTTGGTAAAAAGCCCTTTGACATTTAGAATGTGGATGTTTAAACAAGTGAGATGTTATCCTAAGCACTTACCAGTTTGTAGCCAAGCCCTAGGGGAAAGGCAGCTTTGAAATAGTTATTTCACAGAATTGAACAGAACCTTAATGGAATAGAGTTACTGGCCTCAGTTCAGAAAAAGAGGAGGCCACCTCAAATCACATGCCTGTCTAGATATTAATGAAACTGAGAGACACTGTGGATGCCTTAAAGGTGACTGATATTGGGTCCTGGCAGGTGTGTGTGCATCCTTCTGGACGAGGCTTATGGAAACAGACTCTTTCAGTTCACCTTCATGCAGCACACATTCCTGCTCACGACCCCTTTGGGGGAAGTGAGAAACATGGTGCTGCAGACATCCTTGCATCTTGGGCGGCTGAGGTGGTGATGTCTGTCCAGCACTCAAGCCTCCTTCAGTGCCACTTACACATCTCCATCTGTTCATCTATGCAAGCTTGTGTTTCAGTGTTTCATTTTTTACACTTCGCTTCCCATTTGATTCCTTTAACATCAGGTTTAACATTGATATTATGAATAATTTTTAAACCAAAGTATTGTATAAGTCTGTGTGCTTGTTTTCCTGAATGGTTGGTGACAAACACCAACCTTGTCATTTTCTCTTAATAAAGTCATTCATTTGTTACATCAGTGGTCTCTGTCTCATGTTTTCTTTACTGCATTCAAGGACTTGGGGAGTTCTGTGAACATTCATTTGTTTTTTCTTTATAAAGTTAACCCTAAAATATCATTTAATAACAGTAGCTTTTTCTCTTATACTGATTACTGTAACCATATATAACATTATACTGATGCCTGTGTGCTGTGTTAGTCACTCAGTTGTGTCCGACTCTATGTGGCCTGCCAGGATCCTCAGTCCATGGGGATTCTGCAGGCAAGTATACTGGATACTGGAATGGGTTGCCATGCCCTCCTCCAGGGGATCTTTCCAACCCTGGGATCAAACCCAGGTCTCCCACGTTGCAGGCAGATTCTTTCCCATCTGTGCCAGGGAAGCCCAAGAGTACTGGAGAGGGTAGGCTGCCCCTTCTCCAGGGGATCTTCCTGAACCAGGAATTGAACTGGGGCCTCCTGCATTGCGGGCAGATTCTTTACCAGCTGAGCTACCAGGGAAGCGTACATTGATGCCTAGTACATTAACTCAATGTATTCAACTCAATGTACTCAACAAGTATTCCCAAATCTAAACCATTAGAAAAATGGCTTTGTTTTGTGTGTGGTGGTTGATAGCTTGGCTGATTTATTTGAGAGAAAAACATGAGTGAATGTTCACACAATAATCCGAATGATTACACTCCATGAGGCCAAAACCAGTCTGCACCACATATATATTTCATGGATGTTGAAAATAGACATCGATAATAACTACCATTTATTGTACATGTTCGCTTTATGAGGTGTGTTTCTTTATCTAATTTTGTGTGCTAGACTAGCCATGATGTGGAAACTGATTCTGCGGAAATTCAGCTGGTTACTTAAAACTAAGACACTGTTTTCAATGACTATTAAACTGATTTAAGAGAGAGAACTCGTTTCCCTGAACCAGACCCTAGACGTCACTTTCTTCTTTGGGAAATGTTACAGGGAGTCTAAATGACCTCTATTATGTATTTATACTACTGTGAAAATGTGCTAAGGAAACCCAGTCCAAAATTGGAGTTGGGAAGCCACGAGAGGAGGACTCTCACACGTCCCACGCATTGCTGCTCCTGCAATTTAGCAGGAGGGAGGAAGATTTCCTCTCTCACTTGGCAACTCTAAGCTGCCCTAGGTTTCAGCCAACGGGAAGATGCCACCACTTTGAAATCTCATTCTCCTCAAACAAACTTTTGTTTGAAACAGCCCTTCACTTTGTTCTCCTGACTTGCTTATGTTTCAACATAGTTTGCTTGTCCCAGATTGCCAGTCCTTTTCCCATATACCCTCAGTTTTGCCTGAGCAAAATTGCTTTTTGCTCTGGTTTAACTGTCAGTGCCAGACACCTAAGGAGCACCAGTGATGTGCAGACATTGCTTTCTTTTCTTTTTAATTTGAAGAAATTCGGTGTGCTGAATTCAGCCTTCAGTTTCTAAAGAATGGATGAAGCTTGGTAACCAAGGGATAAAAGTCTGCACACCCAGAAGACAATTAAAACTTTTAAGTACATAATTAAGGTAACTTCCTATAATCTGCAGCAGGAGGTACCTAGTATTCTTGGATAGGTCTTGTGCATATGGCTGGGTCTGAGTGTCAGGCTCTGGCCATGTGGTGTGGAGAGGAAGCACACGGGACACCCCCTCCTTTAAAGGCATCCAGAAGAATCTTAGCCACCTTCTACACTCTGGAAATTTGGAGACATCTCTGAGAGGACTTGGGGCTACACCACGTCATAGGGTAGGGATTTGAAGAAATCTCACCCACATATCTGGTGAAAGAAATGGAAACCCTCTCCAGTATTCTTGCCTGGAGAATCCTGTGGACAGAGGAGCCTGGTGGGCTGCTGTCCATAGGGTTGCATAGAGTCGGACATGACTGAAGCAACTTAGCATGCATGCATGCATTGGAGAAGGAAATGGCAACCCACTCCAGTGTTCTTGCCTGGAGAATCCCAGGGACAGGGGAGCCTGGCCTGCTGCCGTCTGTGGGGTCGCACAGAGTCGGACACAACTGAAGCGACTTAGCAGCAGCAGCAGCACCCACATATTAAGGGGCAGAAAGATCACATGTTTCCTCCCTGTTATATCTGAGTCACATTCTTAAACAAACATGAACTGAACACTGCAGGAAAGCCATGACTAGAGAAATCAACAGGAGTAAGGAGGCCTCCTGGGTCCTAGTCCTGGCTTTGCTGTGAACTTGGTTCAGGGCCCCGGGACACCACTTAATCTTTCTACTGATAAGCTTGTTGGAGTGAGGGTTGGTAATCTGTAAGCACTGCTTCAGTTGTAACATTCTAGGATCCTGTCAAGATGTGTTGTGTTCCTTTAAGATGCTCTGGAAAGAGAAGTATCTCATGCACTACTGGGGGCCTGGAAAACCAGAAACTTCCTAGGCATTCATTTGAAAGGCCTCATTTCTGACCTTGTATCCTTTGAAAAAACAAAACAAAACTCTGCTTATTTTTGACAAATATCATACATGTTTTAAGAGGTACAGTGTGATGTTTTGATGTACATATACATTGTGAAATGATTATCACAATCAAACTAGCATAACCATCACCTCTCATAGTCACCTGTGTGTGTGTATGGTGAGAACACTTGGGATCTACTCTGTTAGCAAACCTCAGTATGGAGGTTCCTTAAAAAAATTAAAAATAGAATAACTGTTGTTCAGTCGCTAAGTTGTGTCTGACTCTTTGCAACCCCATAGACTAGAGCACACCAGGCTCCCCTGTCCTCCACTATCTCCTAGAGTTTGCTCAGATTCATGTCCATTGAGTCAGTGATGCTATCTAATCATCTCATCCTCTGATGCCTTCTTCTGCCTTCAGTCCTTCCCAGAATCAGGGTCTTTTCCAGTGAGTCAGCTCTTTGAATCAGGTGGCCAGAGTATTGGAGCTTCAGTGTCAGCATCAGTCTCTCCAATGAATATTCAGGGTTGATTTCCTTTAGGATTGACTGGTTTGATCTCCTTGCAGTCCAAGGGACTCTCAAGAGTCTTCTCCAACACCACAATTCAAAAGCACGGATTCTTCAATGCGCAGCCTTCTTTATGGTCTCTCAAATATAGTACATGACTATTGGAAAAAACAGCTCTGACTATATGGACCTTTGTCAGTAAAATAATATCTCTGCTTTTTCATGCAATGTCTTGGTTTGTCATAGCTTAGGAAGCTATCAAAGAAGTTAAGGTTGTGTCAACATATCCCCAGTCAGCCAAAGAGAGGATATTTTGTGCATCAACAGGGATAATAACTGAAATGGATAGAAACATATCAAATATGTTTAAACCAATGATTTAAAATGATTTTATCTGCTTAAAACGACCCGCACTGATCACCTGTGGTAGATACTGTGGTTGTTTTTGTTCAGTTGCTAAGTCATGTTGTACTCTTTTGTGACCCCATGGACTACAGACTGCCAGGCTACTCAGATGCTGTGGGTCAGTTCATTATTTTGAAAACTGGTGAATAAGAGGGATAATCAAGGATTTATTCTGCTGATTTTTAAAAAATTAACATCTATACCTTATTGATGAATAAATGAATTGTTGATTATGATAAATTTCCCTTTATAGAACATTTTAACTAATAGTCATTTTTTAAAAAATGACAGAATGATATTATAATCATTTTGCAACCCTCAAAGAATTAATAGATCTATACAATGGTCAACAACATTCGGTATTCTAAAAGGAGGGAAAATTAGGTATTATATCCTTCCAAATGAAAATAACAGTATCAACAAAATTACCAAGTTTCTGTGTTTATCAACTAATATATAGGAAGTATAGGTCATTAGGACCATTTTAAATAGCAACATAAAATTGAACGGCAAAATTCAGACTGATAAATTTTATCAAACAAATAGCAAAACTTCTTCAAAATAAAATATATTTGTGAGGACAGTGGAGAACTGGGAGGGTATAAGATACAGCAATACTTTAGTTGAAAATAGACTGAAATCTATAAGGTGATTTGGGAAATGTGAACACTGACTGGATATTTGTTGATATTAGGAATTTAGTATTAATTTTTTTTGGTCTGATAATAATATTGGGGTTGTGTTATAAACTAAAGAGTTCTTTTATTTCAGAGATACACACTGAAATATTTACATATTAAATAATATGGTGTCAGGGGATAGAACATAAATGAGGTATAAAAAAGAAACGATTGGCCACATATCAAGAATTGGGAATGGGTAAATCAGGTTTATTATGCTATTCTATTTTTTCATTTCTTTTTCTTGGGGATGGTCTTGACCACTGCCTCCTGTACAATAAAGGACAGAAGTGGTATGGACCTAATAGAAGCAGAAGATATTAAAAGGAGGTGGCAAGAATACACAGAAGAAATATACACAAAAGATCTTAATGACCCAGATAACCACGATGGTGTGATCACTCACCTAGAGCCAGATGTCCTGGAATGCAAAGTCAAGTGGGCCTTAGGAAGCATCACTTTGAACAAAGCTAGTGGAGATGATGGAATTCCAGTTGAGCTATTTCAAATCCTAAAAGATGATGCTGTGAAAGTGCTGCACTCAATATGCCAGCAAATTTGGAAAACTCAGCAGTGGCCACAGGACTGGAAAAGGTCAGTTTTCATTCTAATCCCAAAGAAAGGCAGTGCCAAAGAATGCTCAAACTGCCACACAATTGCACTCATCTCACAAGCTAGCAAAGTAATGCTCAAAATTCTCCAAGCCAGGCTTCAACAGTACGTGAACCGTGAACTTCCAGCTGTTCAATCTGGATTTAGAAAAGGCAGAGGAACCAGAGATCAAATTGCCAACATCCGTTGGATCATGAAGAAAGCAAGAGTTCCAGAAAAACATCTACTTCTGTTTTATTGACTATGCCAAAGCCTTTGA